TTATCCATCCAGCTGGATCCCGAGAAAACCCCATTGATGTCGACGGTCCAGCACTGCCTACCAACATGACAGGAAGATATGGCAATATCTGCTGGGCATGTCAGCAGCCTGGTCATTTCCAGTCTCATTGCCGACTCTTCCGCTGCCGCATCTGTGGACGCGCTCAACCAGGGCATTATCCATCTGCCTGTCCTCAACGAACTGTTTGGGACAATGCTATCCAAGAAGCCACCGAAGAGCAAGACTACGATGATGGCACTCTTGTGGACCTGGACGGTTCGGTAACCGGTCATGACTAGGAAGTTTGGGTAAACTTCGACCATAGGAAGGGGGTAATGTTATGATTTTCCCATGCTTATCTCGTTCCATTTCCATTCCGAGCATTGTTATTGGACAGTACCCTTCTCTGAGTAGACCTTCCCATGGACGCTATCTTCTTCTCACACGTTATCTCCCTTGACTCACCTTCTACCAATGGGCGCCCTTGTATTTCTCATTTCTCTGAGTTACGTTCTCACAGGATGGCTTACGCGTCCTTTCTTATTGTGCTCTTCTTTGGGTATTAACCCCTATACCAGTTACTATATATACTATAGGAAAACCCATGTATTCCTTAGTTCAACCTCCTGTTGAATACAGCGATTACCTGGACTCTTGACTTGACCGTTGGCATTGGCCCGGCCAGACCTACCTTTCAGTATGCTTACTGAGGTAGTGACGACATAACTGTTGGCACGTGGCCCAGTTATCTCAAGACGACTAGTTAGGACATCGCTTCCTAACACCCGTCGCCGGCTGCGGCGTCGCGGTGTGTGTCGCGGGTGTGGTGGTTCCTCCGCTGGCATCCACATCCATCGTGTGGGGCATAGGGTTGGACAGTGCCACCAGCTCTTGACCGCTGGCCGGCGTGAACAGCTGTCCCGCTGGCTCCCTCTGGGCCGGCGCTGGAGTTTGATGGTTAGCATTAAGTGGGGTTGCGCAACGATGATGTGAACACACCAATGGTATCGGGCGCCCGGTTTCTGGTCGCAGCCTGCGCATACGTTTGGCTATGGGCCGGCGGGTGGGAGCTGTTGCGAGCATTGGTGGTCATTGGTGGGGGGGAGCCTTCGTGGACATTGGCGGTCGACACCGCTCCAGAGGACTCTGTAGCGGGTTGGTGGGTGCTTGCGGTCAGCCTTGGGTATCGTCTACGAGGCAGGGAGTATTTTGCTTACCGGGCGAGACTGTGGGGTGAGCCGGCTGGGCCGCCTGAGCCCTCGGGGCGGGTAGAGGCGGCGGCGCCGTGGTCGGCTCGGGGGGATGCTCCATGGTCAGCTCGGGACGGTGCTCCGTGGTCGGGGCCGTGGTGGTCGGTGTTGTCTGTTCCGCGATACTGGCGGGAGCGTCGCTGAGGCGCGCGGAGCGCCTGCGCGTCGGTTCAGCGACAGCGGCTTTGGTCGCCGCTTTAATAGACGTTTGTTGAGGTGCATCAGACTTCATCGTGGGTAGGGAAGGTAGGTCGGTACTCGGAGAACGTCGGCGGCGGTGATAGGAATGGAGGCGCTCAGCGGGTTATTTTGGTTAGGTTGGAAGATGGGCACCCGAGTGCCTTTTGAGTGGGGGATGGGTGGTGCTTGTTCATGTGCAGCACCTCGGGTGATCCCGAGTGGCTGAAACTCTAAGTCCCTTTCCAGGTGCTCATGTGGGGGTGGTTGGGTTGTGGACGGGTAGTTTATTCTCTGGGATAGGGGGAGTGGTTGCAATTGTGAGGATACAGTGTACCATAGTCCCTGGAGGATACAGTGTGGCATGTAGTTAGACGGCTGGTGCTTTCCTTCTTTTGTTTTATTTCTTTTGTGGGGGGGAGGGGTGCGCATATCGAGCGATACGCCTCCCGTCGGGGTGCGTGGTGAGCACGGGACTCGTCATCGCTCGCGCCGTTGTATACGGGGGCGGTATAGTATGGCGTCTGGACCATTGAGGGTCTCGCTGGGTGGCCAGGTGTGCGCCCGTCGTCGCGAACGACGATCCCTGCCCACGCAAAAGCGTGGGAAAAACTCGTGGCCGTGGTGGTTCGAGTTCAAGGAGCCCCCCGAGGTCAACGTTTGCCGCAGCGTAAGTTCCTCTTTCTGATTGCTTACGTAAAGTCATCCATTATTCTTCGCCGATCCTCATTTATTCACAGAAGTCTGCTTTCATGACCTACGCGGGGTAGGCGGCAAGGAGTGCGTCCACAGCCCGAGTTGGCTTCCACTCCAGCCAGAGGTGGTTCGCGAGCCCGCCCGGCGCTTTCGACAGGTCCAATTTGCCGTTATCCCAGTTCAGCAGGATGAATGCGAGAATGCCCTCCATCGAGGTCGGGTCGCTCTCCGCGAAGATCTTCTCCTGCTCGGAGATGGGGCGGTGCGTGATGTCGAGCTTCTTCCCCGTTCGCGCGGTGTATTCCGCAGCGATCTCGTTCAGGGTCTGAAAAGGCATATAAGGGGTGCGGTCGGATCTGTGGGCGAGCCGCGAACATACCTTGCGATCGCCTTCGATGTTGAAGGTTTTCCAGTATAGCTGCTCTGCCGGGGTGTGCGTGAGGAGATGTTCCGTGAAACGAGCCACGTCCTCCCTGGTCGTCCACGTTATCGGCTTATTCCCGTCTCCCCACATAGTGACCTTCCCGTTGGGGACGTCCCATCCGAACAGGCTATCAAGAGGCACCCGGTGAGTGGCCGTCTGTCGTGCTGATAATTGATGAATACGCACGGGGACAAGACGGCGTCTGACCACATGCCACAGTATACCATGGCATACGGCAAACCGATATCTTCGAGCTTCTTGTGCACCTCAGCGTGGGTGATGTAGAAGCCCTGGTTCAGGCCTTTCGAATAGAGACCCCACTCGGACGGCACGAAGAGCTGCACGCCCGCGTGCTTCGCGGCGTCCGCGAGCTTGATATTATTCTGGATGGCCTCGCCGTACCCGCCGGTGACGGACACCACCGCGTCGATGCCAGACAGCGCCGAGACGAGGGAGCCGTGCGAGGCGTAGTCGACCGTCTTGACGTTGGCGCCGAGCTCCGCGAGCGTGGCGAGCGTCTCGTCTCCGGCTGGGTCCTGTGCACACCGGTGAGAGTCACCGAGGCATCACAACTGGAAAGGCCTACTCGGCGGGTGAGGATGTCCACTCGCGAAATCTTGCCGTCCGCCTTGAGTTTCACGAATTCCTCAGCCACGAATTGCCCTATGCGTCCCAGACCTGCAAGAGCAAAGTTCCCCAGGGTGGTCATTGATACTACTGGGATATTGACGACTGCTTTCAGTTTCGTGAAGCGTGACCTCCTCCTTTATAACCCATGGGAAACTCTTCTACGTAAAACTACGCGGATGCCTGCTCGGGTGACGCGCGTCTCGGCTACATATTGCAGAATTTGCGAAATTCCATAATGCAAGCCGATGCCATTCTAATGAGGCCCACTTCAAGCGAGCGACCTGTTTCACATTCATTTGCTTGGGTCGACATTTTCAGGATTGGTCTCAATACGATGGCGCAAAATGCTGTGTGTGGCGTATACGTACAGTCGTCTCGATTAGGGGCATTAAACAGCGAAAGAATCGATCCTCTTTCGTCTCCGCGTGCTCGCGGATGCCGCCCAGCCTCGTCATCCCGTATTCACGCTTCATTCAGACATGAATTGGCCTCTCGTGGAAGACAAGGGGCAACCTGAATTCGCAGCAATATGTAGTCAAGGCAGGAGACAGCACGGGAGCGATTTTTGTTCTCGCCCATTTTTTAGCGAGGAATGTCTGGATTGAAGCACTTCGCGATTACAGGAGCAGGCAACGTGTGGTTGTTCATCGCCTCCGAGCTCCTCTCGCTCAAGGTGTCGCGGAAGGTCGACGCCGTGCTCATCCTTACCCCCAGCGTAAGCCTGCCGATCCGTCCATTCTTACTAAACCCCTCGCCAGGCTCCAGAGAATAACTCCATACTCTCCTCACTTCCCTCTTAAGGGGCCGAGGTCGTTCAAACAGATTACATTCCTGCCTCCCTCACACCGCTTTTCACAGGACACACCATTGACGTTTGTATTTCCGCTGTAAATGGCACGGGGCACGCCGTCGAACTGCCCTCATCGCCTCTAATGCACCTGGAATCAGGTTCTTCGGGCCCTCTGAATTCAGGATACGCTAGACAGGGGGGGGGCGAATTTCTGCAGGTCATGTAGGCTGGGATGCCATACACGATTTTCTTCACAGGCCAAATGGACAGATTGGATATTCACGTCGTAACTATCGCGCTCTGAAAATGTTGACATAAGGGCTGAACGATCCACATACAGACATTTTCGATGGGACATCCTTGACGAAAAGATTATAATCTGGTGGGGCACGAAGCTGGACCACCGGAGGGACGTAGCGCGCTTTAAGTTCACAACGGGAACACTCACTACCCTTTTCCTTGAGCAGCTCAAGTGGGCGATACTCTACTTCGAGGCGGAAAGGAAGGTGCGTACCCTTCTCGCCCTCCAATTGTTCATGGTTGTCTTCCTGCTCGCAGTCCATGAAAGAGATCGCCGAGTCCTACTTCTCGCGGACAAGCAAAGCCATCCAGATAACGCACACGCCGCTCGCAGTACTTGAAATACTCTGAAAACGGAACCATCGTCGTTCACACTCCCGTATATCATCGCATGGTTGCAGCTAGCGTGGGATAAAGGTGAGGGTGTGCCCGCGAGTGACGATTCAGAGGGGAGTGGGCGGTAGGGAAGGAGATGAGGCTGCAGACGACGGGAGTTGTGGATGCACTTCTGCAGATATATCCATGAGATAGGCCTTGGCGGCTTGTGCATTGGCGACTGATAAAATACTGGTGGCCTTCGTAATGTGCCATTATGTAGCAAAGCTGGGAGCTGCCGATGCCGCTCGAACGCGCAATCCGAACGGCAGCATGGCAGATTCTTAAAAAGCCCTGGTTTCCGCAGATTGTAGAGGGTCTAGCCGTTCGCCTGCAGGTCATCAATCAATAACGCTGCCAACGTTCCCCGACTCGACGTCGGCTTATAGCTTGATGAACTTCGCGAGAGTGGGTATTGGTAATATTGGGGAATTCGTAGCGGAAGAATTCCTCAAGCTCAAGGCAACCTTGAAATGGGACCGTCTCAACGATGGTCATCCTGACGCGCCGAGTACCTTGATTTTCTTACCTCGGTACAGCCTCCTATCACTCGCTGGACATCCAAGTGGAGTTAGTTCGGGCAATAACAAGGCTCGCCGGCCTCGGAGGCATTGTCAAGTCAGTCAATTACCACTCCCCCCGTCCCTGCGCTCAGCCAGGGATCGACGCCTCCGTGTCGGCGCTTGGGGGCTCTTCACGTCGAGCTGACACTCGCAGAAGTCGGGAGGCAAGCGGGTGTGAATTTCTTCCTACCGGCGGAGTGGGGCATTATTCGAAAGGGCTCAAGGACGGATTCTACGTCGTGCAAAACGAGATTCATCGGCGCCTTGGGGAAATAGGGATGCCGTACCTGTTGGTGTTTACGGGCATGTGGTCGGACTTCGTGTTTATCCCGTGAGTGGAAACGCTGTGGACGGAGGGTTGCTTACTATGGGATGTGACGGCAGACCTTTCGGTGAGACGTGCAGGGAAGAAGAACAACTATGTGGCGCGTGAGCTTTACGATGCGGAGAGATTCAGCTCGATTCTACTCACCAACAACCCTCTAGACGATCTCCGATGGAAACGTATCAGCATCGAAAGCGATCATAAGACACGTATAACCATCTGTGGCACCACCCGGCGACGAGTTTCATATCAGATGCTAAAGAAGATCGCCGCAGGTTATACTGCGAGGACTGGGAAGAATTCAGAAATAACATGTCTAACTTCTCAGCAGGAGCAAATCTTGCAGGAGGAGAAGTCGCCCTTCGCCACGCAAGCCAGACCAGCTTGGTCGTTCGTCGCGTTTGAGAGGATTATGCGACTTGTTCAGGGCCGTCTTAACTACTTTTTCTGGCGGTGCAGATTACTTTGCAAAGATGGTTGTAAACGTGATAGCATACATAAGCCGATATTCACAAGGGAGAATGGGAGCAGGGAGTCGCCAAGCCTGGCAACATGTACAGCTGCACAATGGGCCAATGGCTATAGCACATCACCGTGGGAAATCGGTTTCTTGCCAAAGCGCGTCCGGGTTGTGGCGGCACTGTGGCCTCTTACACCCATAACGCGACTTTCACCCCAACCACTACTCCTACCCGTCGCGTCAGACACACCTCTCTCTGCCAACACCCCAGCAATCCCCATCATACATAATTCTACTCCTGACATCGGAATGGACCCGGCCATTGTCATTGCTGTCCCGTACGATCGCCACATCTGGCCACAGACACGTTCAGAGGAAACTCGGAGCGACAACATCTGGGCATTCTGCTCCTCGCAGGTGAGTACCGTAGTCCCTATACCATTCCCCGCCTCAATCAACGTGTTTGTCCCCAGTTCCTGGCGTCGACGCAGAAACTCCTCGAACGGCACGCGAGGCGCGACGCGTCCACGCTCGCCTCGCCCATGCCTATGCTTCACCACCCGAAGCCGATACGCGCATACCGCTTCGTACCCAACTGGGTAGACGACTGGGACGAGCGCAGCGTTCTCTCGGACTCGGGCTCGCCGTCCACCACGCCACATTCCGAGTCGCTGGCCACACCGAGCGACGCGTTCTCCGACATGGAGTATTACGGGCGCGGGATCGGGGATAGTGCTGAAGGGCAGGGGGACCTTTATAGCTGCGGGAGACCCGCTTCGACGATATCGGAGCTGGCGCATTACCTCCCGCGCGAGGTGCTGGAGGAGCTCGGCCTCGCGCCCAGCGCGTCCAACTCGAGCATCAGCCCCGGGTGCCCAGACACGCCGGGCACGAGCTCGGCGTGCGCAGACCCCCGCCACGTCCAGCTGTTGGCCATGGTGCTGCAGGAAGCCTCGCATATGCCGGCGCACAACTCACCCGTGGGCGGGACCTGTGGCGCGAGTGACAATCACCGCGTGAAGCTGCTCGACATCCTGGTCAAGGAGATCGAGGAGCCCAGACAATGCGTAGAGGTCGAGGCACATGCCGGCCCGCAGGCCGCTCGAGTCTACGCGTATTCGGCCTCTTGGGCAGACGCATGCCATCCCCCGAGTCTCTCCAGTGTCTCGAGTAGCAACAGAAAGCCGATGTTGAGTGGTAGGTGCGCAGGAACACTGCCGCTGGAGAACGATCAGGCGCATAGGGAAGTGTTGCTGAGCATCCTCAACTAGCCGCTTGGAGACTTGGAGAAGCGATATTGCGGGGGCGGGTGGTAGTATGCGTGCTGCAGACACGTCTTCTATTGGGACTTTGATTATATTTATTTCCTCGCGTGGAATTAGGAATCGGGTACCTCACTGTATATTAGCCGGTGATCTCCATATCTCACTTGTCGTCTAACGATAACCAGCTGAGAAGGCGGGGGGCGCATCCTCCGCACGTCCATGCCAGCGAACGCATCCACAGCTCGCCGCTCCCTCGAAACCCGCATCTCAGCGGCCTTGAACGAGCAGAGAGCACGTGAGAGCAGCTTGACTCACAAAAGCGCGTTTGGATGGACAAGAGTAGTTGGCTCCCGCGGACACGCGCACCGCCTCTTACTATTGGTACCCAGCGATCCGCGCACGCTTCGGATCCTAGACACTCAGAGAGGGTGGGCGGGACCCACTCCGGAGCCCTTGATGAGAGAGTGACTACCTGCACGCCCTGGGAGCGAGCGAGCGGGCACCACCTCTCCCTCGCCTGCAACACGCCCAGCCCCTCATCGCACCTACCGCCTGCCTCCGTGGCAGACGAGGTGGAGGAGGAGGTCGGGCGCTGAGGCTTACCCACTCGCCCGCCCCTGATCGTACCCCGCAACCTGGCTGCGTCGAGGTGGCAGTCTACGGCGAGCGGCTCGCGACGTATGCTTGCTCTCCTCCACCCGCTTCTCCTCGCCCATCTGTTCAGGAGCGCGGTGTATTTCGGGTGCGAGGGGCGGAAGGGAGGCAGGGAGTTCGCTGCCGGCGAGTGGGATTGAGACGCATGCGGGTGTGCAAGGACTTGTCTCCATAGAACGTTGCAAGTTCAAAGAGCGTGCCCCGCCCCTCAGCACCCACCCATATCCGTTGTCCCGAGTAAAGTTTCGCGCCGCTCAATTGTGGAAAGGAGGAAGCGGGGGCGATCGCGCTTGCCCGCTCGCTTCCCCACCCACTTTGCCCTCCCAGTGGCTCACGAAGACACTCACCGACCTCATCGACCGGAACCGACTTGCGGGTAGCAGACAACGAGCGTCCCATGTTCTTCCGCGGATACAGCGGGAGTTTCTGGTACATAGTTCCATAGCAGCGAACGACGCGAGACATTTAGCTAGATCTTAGCAGACGGGATAGACCAAGGAATGTTGCAAGAAAGCAAGAGTGTTGGCAGTGACCGTGCCAGCAGATCCGGAGAACGCCGTGATTCACGTGTCTCGATGATTGCCGGCGTGAGTAACCGGAGGGTAACCTCGTCGACGTCGTCCTCGATCGCGACGACCACCTCAGAGTGACGGAGTCACCATGCTCTCCACCGCCCTGCGCCGCCCGCTCCTGGCCCGCCCGCTCGCCCGCCGCCTCTCGACATCCCCGCCCCCTCCCGGCTCCCCCCGGCGCTTCTCCGCGCTCGCGCTCTCGCTCTTCTCCCTCGGCTGCTCCTCTGCCTACCTCCTCGGCGCGCTCTACCCGCCGCCCCTCCTCACCCTCCTCGCCCCGCGGCCCGGCCCCGCCCCTCCGCACCCGTCCTCGCCCGAGGCCGCCGCGCACGCCGCGGAGCTCGAGGCGGCGCTGCAGGCGCTCCCGCCGCTCGCCGCCGCGCGCGGCGCGCCGGACGTGGGCGAGTGGTACGAGACGCGGCCGTACACGCACGTCCCCGAGGAGCGGCGGGTGAACAGCCTGACGGCGGGCGCGCTCGCGGGGCCGGGGCGGCTGGCGGTGCGCCCGCTGGTGAGGGCGCGCAGGGACGAGAGCGAGAGCTGGGTGTTTGTGCACGTTGGGCGGGGCGTGTGCGGGCACGAGGGGATCGTGCATGGGGGGCTGCTTGCGACGCTGCTGGATGAGGGGATGGGCAGGGTGGTGGGTGCTTTTTGTGCCTGTCGCTCTTTACTGGCTAACGCCGACCTAGGCGATCCAAAACCTGCCCGAGAAAGTGGGTGTCACGGCTACGCTGAATATCACGTACCGCGCACCGACGCGTGCGGACCAAGTGCGTCCCTGTCTTCATATCATTCTGCTGTCACTCATCACGGGCTTGCTTTGTTTCCATTTGTACACATCGCGTCGCCCGCATACACCCTCTATCCTGTCCACCCCGGCTCGCAGTTCATCATCCTCAAGACGAAGCTCGACCGCCAGTCGGGGCGCAAGGCGTGGGTGAGCGGGCGCGTCGAGGACGCGAACGGGAAGCTGCTCGTCGAGGCGAAGTGAGTCCCCTCCTTTCTTCTCCCCTTTGTCTCCTCCTTCCTTCTTTCCCTTCGTATTCGACCCCCTCCCTTCCCTCCCTTCCTTCTGCCTCACACACTAACCCCACCCCACACCCAGCGCGATGTTCGTCCAGCCGAAATACGCCGCCCTCCTGAACAAGTCCGCCATCAGGCAGGTGATGGGCGACCCCGAGCTCGACGCACAGGCGCGGCCCGTCGTCGAGGGCGCGGTGTACCCCACGCAGGGCCGCGACGAGCGCGAGGCGTAGGTGACCCGCATACAGCGGTGCTCGGGGGACAGGAAGGGCAGAGTCAGGAGCGGGAGGCGGGATGTGGAGGAGAGAGGCGAGTAGAGATAGACTGACAGCGCTCACCCGCTCTTCCTCGTCCGGTTCCCTCCCTATGGGGCGGTTCGGGCGGGGAAGAGCGGACGGGCGGGTGCGTGTGTTGGGGTGGGGGGGATATGTGTGCGCCCACCGCTCTTTCTCACCTGGTACCCCCCTATGGGGCGGTTCTAGCGGGGAAGAGGGAGCGCGCGTGTAGACTGGGGTATGAATGGAGGGGTTGCGCTCGCCGCCGGCTCTTCGTTAGCGGAGTCGTCCCGTGTGGCGATGGGGAGCGGGGAAGAGCGGACGTGGATCGGGGTAACACGGAGGTGCGCGCCCCCACCGCTCTCCATCGTTGACACTGACCCTTGGGGCCATTCTGGCGGTGGAGAGCTAGCCGGCGTGCGCGCGTCTAGACGCGTCACGAGCAAGGAGGTGTGCGCACTCATCGGCTCTTCGCCGTACACATCGACCCTCGTAAGGCGGTTTGGCTGTGAAGAGCGGACGGGCATGTGTGGACGGGGCGAGGAGAAAGGAGCTGCGCGCGCCCATCGCCTCTTCCTCGTCCGGCTCCTTTCCTGTGCTGCGATCTGGCTTTGAAGAGCGGGTGCGCGTGCGCGCCCATACGGGGATAGGAGATAGAGGACAGGACGGCAGCTGTAGGCGGAGGAGCAGCGCCGCGCCGCGGCTCTCGACACCCTCATATTTCATGTTAGCACCCCGTGCGCTGCTTGAACGGGCGTGCGCGGCGGGAGACGTGGGACGCGCTGCGCGTGTAGAAGAGGGTAGGTGAGGTATGTGTATATGCATTTTCTCTCCATGTTGCGGGACGAGTCATGGGGCGCCCCCCCCCCCCCCCCCGCGTCTCATATTGCAAATTGGCACCGCGGGTGCGCATTGGGATCTGGGTGGGGGAGGGCGCGCTCCCATGCGAGGCGAGAATGGGCGGGGCGCGCGGGTGTGTCCGAGCGCCCTCATTCTCTCGATTCCTTCATCCGAGCATGTGCGTGTTCGATGCGGGGCTCGGGAGATGGGCGGGTGCGGTCGTAGTCGTGCGGGGTCCGAGTGGCCACTTGCTCCTTCTGTGGGCGGGGTGACTGGGTGGGGAGCGAGGGAAGGGTCTGCGCGGTGCGGACGTGCTCTCTCGCTCTGTGATTGACATCGCGTCATGTAGGCGTGTGGTTTGGTACTTTGAGGGGCGGGCGGGTCCGGGTGCCGAAAGGGACAGCGGGGGTGGGGGCGGGCAACCGCGCTTTATTGCCTCTCAGCTGCTCGAGGTCTGGAGGCGTCGGTGTGCTCAGAGGCTATAGCATGCCAGCCGGTACGCGCATCCTGTTTCTAAAATCTCGCCAGCGCCCGCACCCGCTAGATCTATAGGAATGCGCCCGCTAGGGTGTAGCGCTTGTAGGGGGGAGGTGGGACGGTTAGATATGAATTCGGACGGACGCGCTCAGTCACTCTGTTATCCCGAGGCTCTTGATTACGAGGCCCTGAAGTGACTTAGAGAGACTGGGCTCGGCCGCTTTCGTGGGTTCAGCGCTCAACGCTGGTGAAGGTAGGGGAGCGGACGAATGCGTTTACATGACGTGGAAGATACGCAGAGTTGAGGGAGGAAAAGAGGAAGGCGAGTACGTTTACGTTTCCTGGTTCCATGGCATGCGCTGGGCTGGCCGGATGAAGGCGGCGAGAATAGAGAGCGGCCGATATATAGACATGACAAGAGTCCTCTTACAACTTCCGGCATCGCCTGTCTTGAATATTCCGAAACGGTACGTTTCGCGCGCTGACAACGATGCCGTCCCCCTTGGTGTTCAGGTTCGCAATGAAGTGCTACGCAGAAAGAAATACAGACCGCAGAGCGGCCGGTTGATATACAAAGTGAGCTACATAGCTTCTAGTTCCACCCAGTGATAATAAAGATAACTAAAGTCCCAACGATAGATGTGTCTGCAGCACTGATACTACCACTCGCCCCTGCAATACTGCCCACGACGGCGCCCCTCGATGTTCCTGAGGGGTTCATTGAGGATGCCCAACAACACCTCCCTATGCTCCCTCCCTTCGTCTTGCAGTTGCATGCGCGGGCTCTGATGCTCCGACAAGGGCTTGCCGAGGGTGCCCAAGATGGAGGCGTCCGACGCATGAGATGCGTCTCTCCAGGAGCTGCAGTGTGCATCGGACGAGCAATGCACAAGACCAGGCCGCGAGCTGGCGCGCGCCACAACCGCCGAGCTTTGCACTAGCTCCTCGATGTCCTGCAGCACCGCCCCGAGTAGCTGCTCATGACGATGGGCGGTGGCCGTCTCGCCACATGGTGGGTCGTCATCCGCCATGCGCCACGCCTGCTGCTTGCGTTCGGTGACAAGCGTCTCCAGCAGCTGGACGTGGCGGGGATCTGCGCATGCCGAACTGTGCACGCTCGTCGCTGGTGTGTCGGGATACCCCGAGCTTGCGTTAGAAGCACTGGGAGAGAGGCCAAGCTCCTCCAGGACCTCGAGGGGAAGGTAATGAGACAGCTCGGATATCGTCGAAGCAGGTCTCCGGCAGATAGAGTAGTCCTCCCCTGCCTTACCACTGCACCCATTCCCCAGCCCGGGATAGTCCGCGGTGATATCCATATGAGAGTACGATTCGGTAGGTGTCGCGGGTGATTGTGGCGTGCAGGATGGCGAGTCCTCCAGAACCCCGGCCTTGTCCCAGTCGTCTACCCAGCTTGGAACGTACCGGTATGCCCGTATGGGCTTTGGGTGGCGAAGCTCTGGCATCACGGGAATGGGAGCTGCGAGCGGGCTGAGACGCACGGACGCGTCGCGCTTCGCGTGCCTTTCCAGGAGTTTCTGCGTAGCCGACAGAAACTGGAGGGGACATGTCAATTGAGACGTGGAATGGTACAGGAAATCTAAGGCTCACTTGTGATGAACAAAATGCCCAGGTATTATCGCCGCCACTTTCCTCCGAGCGCGTCGGTGACCAGATGTGGCAATACGGGACAGCAATGATAATCGCTGGGTCCATGGCGATATAAGGAACAGACATGTGTGATGATGTATAGGAGAGTATAGGCGAGTGAGATGCGACCAGTAGCCGTAATGGTTGGAGTGAAGTCGCGTTATGAGTGTAAGAGGCCACAATTGACGCGCGCGTTCTTATACTAGGGCCGCCACAGTGGCGCGACGCGCTTTGGCAAGCAGCAGTCATTTACCCACGGGAATGACCTAGAGCCATTGTGCTGTGGCTGCAACACGCGAAGGATTCCATGAAGGCCAGCGTTATGATGTGCATTGAATGGATACATGCAGCTATGAAACTAAGGTGAGCATACGGTTATTAAGAAACAGTATCTACAGCGGGTATGTCGTCGTTCCACAGGGGTATATTACACAGGGAAAATCGGGTCCGCATTTGGAGGAAGGAAGAAAAATAAGATAACCGTATCATATACCTACCCAATTGTACGCTTTATCACTTCCCTGAGGGTGTCTCGATGGCCTGCATAATCCGCTGGAGGGCGAACAATTCCTTGACCACGGGCATTTTTACCCTGTTCTCCGGCTTCAGCTGCCAGCAAGCCTGCATGATATCCCAGATGTCGTCTGTAACCAAGGGGTACTTGTCTGGATTTGGACGTAGCGGGTGCGCCCCCCTCCCTACGTCGAGCATGTCGTCTGCATGGAACCGACGTTCTGCGAATGGTTTTTGGCCCGTGTACACCTAAGGGTTAAAATAAGCGAGGGCTAGCGGAGACTGGAGAAGAGCCGCGTACCTCCAGGCACAGCATGCCGAAGCTGTACGTGTCGGTTTCCGGTGTCGAACCCATCCTGTCGTTCTGCACTAGCTCGTAGTTGAAGAACTCAGGTGCTAGCCATCGGGCTTCCTGAAATACAAGATTGGTCGGGCGAGCGAAATGGATGGCAAAGTCGGGCACGCGGGTCATGCCATAGTCGTTAAGAAGTGCTTCGCCGGTATCGTCAATCAGAACATTGGTCTGCAACAAGTAGTTGGTTAAACGTGGCTGTCTTAATACAGAAATGTAGAGAGGGACGCACTGATTTCACGCTGCCATGAATGGCAGGAACCTCGCGCGTGTGCATGTAAGCCAGAGCACTCGCCACGCCGTGTAGCTGCGATGAAGGTCAGTACTCAGTCAAGAGCTTTGGAAGACACGAAGTACTCCTTACTAGACGTAACACATCCGCTCTCGGGTTCTTCTCGAGGTACTGAAGTATATTCCCATTCTTGTAATACGGATATACGATGCTGGGAATGTAGGCGAGTGTATCCGCCAGACCGACGAATTTTACTATGTGACGATGTCTGAACTGTTTCCATTCGTTGACTTCCCTCATCAAAAGCTTGAAAAATTGTTTCTTCAGACGAGATTTCCCTTGATAAGGATGAACCTACTTTGATGGTGTCAGGGCTGCGGTAGTCGTCGCGACACAGTCGCCAATTTCGTATGACGACCCTGTGATTTTGATGGAAGCCAATATGGCTATCCGTTTCGACCTTGGTGAATGACGGAATTCGGTCGTAAACAATTTCGCTTCCATCTTCTTGGAGGTACGCCACACACATTGTCCACTGAGTGCGCGGCTTCCGTTGCTCCTGAAAGATGTCAATGGTCCGGAAAATACTCGCGTCCAGAGGGAGGTTACCTGTTTCTCGCGCAGGAAGTGAACTTTTGGAGCCATGATGAGTAGTTGATGGTGAAGAGGGTGGGATGGGGGCGGAAGGTAAATTCTGAAAGGAAAAAGAGACTCAGATGCTGTCTTTGTCTTATATATCGTTAGACCTACCTAAATATGGAACATAAGGATCGAAGGCAATGTGACGGGCCCTTTCACCAGAAGCGGGGTAAGGTAGGATGCTCAGTACGCGGGCCTCAGCCTCCGAAGGTGGCGATGTGGGTGCTTGGACCACTGCACGGGCCCCACCGCCTTGGATTGCAGCTCCGACTGCACCGCATCGCCGGCATCGGCGGTCGGGCTGGTCATATTAGGAACTGAATTTTCATCGACAAAAGCTCGTAGCTCGGAAAGATTAACTACCACAGCATCCGACATAGATGGACAATGGGCGGGTCACTAGTGAGCACGGAGTGAAAAGCGCGATGCCACATGCACAGCCTAAGCCGAGCAGAAGGGCTATAGTATTCCTTGGGCGTCTACCCTCAAGACTCGTCCTACAACCCTTACTGCTTTGAATGTGTCAACTATATCAGACACTAGGACCAGACACCGGCGAGCGCGGCCGTAGAACAACAACAGAACAACTTCGTTGGTGATGTGCAGTCAGCAGCCACCAGCACCTACAAATAAACCCAGAGTCGTCGCACGTGGGTACAAGGTCCGTAACCGAATCTCCGGCTAACGTTGATCCGACTTAAGTCAAACCTCTGTATAAGTGTCCTGGAGGGAGAGAATGCGTTAGTGGTCTGTATGACTCCCGTTTATCTTCGGAACTACTGAATCAGAGTTTGAAACAGGCGCTGGAGTGTCTCTTGGCCAAGCTGGAGGATATATAAAGCAGCTGTCCATCCGCCGAGCCTGGGAACCCTTGTTTTTCGTCGCCCCTATCATCTGTAGTTGCGACCAGCACTCCGTGCGTTCCAGCAACACGTAAGGATGAACTGGCCAGCTTTTCCTGAGCCTGGAGGTCACTCCCCCTCAGCAGGGGTAGCCCGTTCTTCTCCGTAAGTTCCAAATCAAGCATTTCCGTGTGCTAGACGACTCAGTCTCCGGGCGCTGTCCCAAGATACCCGCCGTCGTAGGTCTCCCTTGCATCTGGTACATATGGCAGTGATTTCATGTCGTACAGACCCAACCGCAACGTTAACTACCCAATGCCATCACCATCCCAACCCGTCGGAACGCCACGGTCGGCCGGGTACCAGGAAATATACGCTGACGGACAAGCCATCCGCGTGCCTCCCGGCGCCGAAGTTATATATGTAGAGGGCAGACATCGACACCACTCCCACTCACACTCCTCGCACGGTCAGCATCATCCTTCCGGCCACGGCCGCAGCCATAGCTATAGCCGGCCGCCTGCGCAATCGCACCACCATAGTCACTCGCAGCCTCAGTATAATCAACCTCAGTACAGTCAGTCCCAGTATCTGCAGCGTCATCACGCGCAGTATCTGGTGCATGCCCAGCACGGCGGGCTCGTCCCGCTTCAGCACCCCGATTTCCAGTATTCTAGGTGTACGGGGCGGAAGAAGGCTCTACTTGTGAGTGACATCTAGGCGAGGGCTCCGCCTGCTGAATTTTAGTCTCGACAGATTGGTATAAATTATACTGGTCAGCGTGAGGAGCTCCGCGGGTGCATCAACGATGCCAAGAGCATGTATTACTTCCTTCGAGGTACGTCATTGGTAACGCATCGTAGCTTCAGAGCAGGTACAGACATGTCTCTTAGAGCGTTATGGCTTCCGCAAAGAAGACATGGTTCTGCTCCGAGATGACGCTCACAATCCTCGCGACATCCCGACGAAGAAGAATATGCTCGATGCGATGAGGTGGCTCGTCAAAGACGCACAGCCTCACGACTCGTTGTTCATACACTGTACGTGAGCACGGCTTGATGATGCGAATTCCGCCTACCTGGAAATCAGACTCCGGTCACGGCGGGCAGACCAAAGATTTAGACGGCGACGAAGTCGATGGTCTTGATGAAGGTGACACAGCTGTCGATATGCTAAGGATCTGGCTCACGCAGTGCGACCAGTCATCTTCCCACTCGATTACAAGAAGGCTGGAACAATCACGGATGATGTGCGTAGTCAGCCGTGACGATGTCATTGCTAAGCCTAACCTCGAGACCGACAGGTGCTGAATGAAATACTGGTATGTTATACGGCAGTATTCTTGAATAGACAATATTCAAGCCTGGACAGGTGAAGTCTCTGCCTAAGGCATGCCGTTTGACGGTAGGTATCTCACGAGCAAGCTAAATCAGAGCGCACTGACTGTCGCGTATTCAGGCCGTCTTCGACGTGAGTGACCGCGCAGTTACAGTTCTCATGATCCTCTGATCCGCATCCATGCAGTCCTGCCACTCTGGATCCATATTAGGTGGGTCAATCGCACTTAAGTGCCTGTATGGTTCTTAATCCTGCCGTAGATCTTCCGTTTCTGGTGAGTATTCAGGTAAGGAGAGGCACGCACTTTGTATGGAACGCTTTGCTCTAGTATCACTCCGACGGAAGGATCAAGCGAAGCCAAGTAACAGACAAGTTCCGTAAGCAGCGGTCTACTCCCGCCGATGTCGTGAGTATGTCGTGACAGGCAGTGCTCGCAGCTCTGACGGTGCGCGTACGTTTTACAGGTTTCTTTCAGTGGATGTAAGGACGCACAGACGAGCGCGGACACGTATGAAGGCGGCCTCGCCGTCGGTGCCATGAGCTACGTACGTGCTCTTGTCCGATTTGCACAAACGGGCGTCACCTAACCAAGCTTGATAGGCATTCGCGTTATCCCTCAGTATGTCTACGCAGCTCGCCTTCCTTGCCAGCGTTTGACTGGTCTATTCATAGAACGTTCGCCCGAGCAGACCTACGCTCAGCTACTGAGATCCGTCAGGTGAGTTATCGGCAACGGTGTGGAATCGTTGGTCTTATCTGCGTAATATAGAGAGATCTTGAATAAGAAGTATAGTCAGAAGCCTCAGTTGACCTGCTCTCACCGACTGGTGGGTCCCCACTCGGGATTCTACGCGCCGGCACTGATGCTGATTTCATGCAGGACACCAACCTGAAGTTCATTATTTAACCTTTTGTATTCGTTGTCACGAGTCAAGGTGTAGTTTCTTGTATCCGCCTCGCATCTTGTTGTCTTGTATTCTTGTACTGACGCTGTCTCTTGTACTGAACTGCCCCAATTGCTGTCTCGTCGTATTTATATTCGCTGGCTGGACGCTATATGAATCGTATCATCCATGCTATCCTATCCCATCGTCTCTCCCCTCGGCTGCTCACGGGAAGCTGGTACCCATCTCCTTCAAGGTGTCCTTCAGGCTCGTCCACCCTCCAAGCAGCGCCTCTCCCCTCTTGTTATCCACCACCGTCAAATCAGGCTTGGTCTGCTTGGGGTCGTCGGGCAACGTCAACTCGGGGTGCAACTCCTTGAGGATGCGCAGAACCTCCGGCCAGGTGAACACCGCTGCTGCCGCCCAGATGCGCTCGGAGCGGATCGAAGGGTCGGCAAGGGCTCGGACGTGCAGTTTGGCATTGTCGCGGACGTGAACGTACCACTCTGCCGGAATTCATCATGAGACATACGTAAGTGGGACTGCGCATGAAAAGTCGACTTACGAGACCGGACGTTGTCTATGACGGAGCGGCTGCCTTTGATAATGTCGTAGATCCACGCCGAAGTAGTGGCAGCCTGCGCGCCGGGATACTCGAGTGGGCGACCGAGGTTGACGTTCGGTAAGAGGGTATTCAGTTTGTACTGCGGTTTTTTCTCATCGTAGAACTTCCACGCCAGCCGCTCGGCTCTGACTTTCGATGCATAGTATGCCGCCGCTGGATTACCGTCCGGGAAGCCCTGTTTGGCTAGTTCGTCGTACGTGACGTCGTTCCATGTCGTATGGTCGGCCTTCTGGGCCTTCTCGAATGACGGGAGGACAGAGGCGACACTAGAGGAGGTTATCACAACCGAACGCACGGAGGGCTCGGATTTCGCGGCTTTCAGAATGTTCAGAGTGCCGTTCACAGCTGCATCGATGGCCTGTCTTGCTGAGCCCTGGATGGTGACAGGGGAGGCTACATGAATTACTCCAGCAACGCCTTTCGACGTCGATAAAGTAAGGGAGTCAGCTTTGGCTGGAGGAAACGGAGACGAGGAGGGACACACCCTTGATAACTGTGTCGTAAGCCCCTTCAGCCTCGATATCGGGGACCACAACGGCTTCGTATCTGTCTGCACCGTACTTGGCCTGGGCATATTGCTTGAGACCTCGACCTTTCTCTTCCGAGCGAGTTACGCCTCGAACCACATATCCGTGGCTCAGCGCTTCATCCACGACATGGGCACCTAATCCGATTTATAAATTAACGAACCCGAGTCTTGCTTTTCTACCTTACCTATGTATCTGTGTAACATAAGTGCTGTGAGTTTCTGACTTTAGACGCAAGACGCGGATAGAGTTACCCGTTAGCCCCCGTCACGAGGACAATGGTACCGAGCGGTACAGTCTGAAGTTCTCCTCCGCCGTGGGCAGTTACCGTCGCGTCCGCCATTGCTGGTTACCGCTGGGTAAAGGTGATTTAATCGATACAAGTTAGCTGGGAGTATTGAGGGAGCGGCTGCTACCCGTCCAGCTCAGCCCTTATAAGGTGGATCGGCTAACCTCCTTTGAATACGATGGAAGCGCCCTGATTGGCCGGTAGCAAGGAAGAGTGAGACGAACCTCCTTTCGCGGGTAGTCATGGCTCCGAAAGGAAACCTTATATCCATTGATGGCACAATGCCCGCTCTGACGCTGATGTCTGTCTTGCCACACCGGTTCTTACGGTTTCTCCAATGTCAAAATGGAACCTCAGTACCGCTATGAACGGGCAGTCTCCTCGTCTTTGCCCGCCTGCTCGTGGCAGAGTCAGCTCAGAGTGGATAAGAACTCTACTACGTGCGATTATTAATCCAGTATTCCTTATTCCTCGGACTAGGTACTCGGCAGCATTTGTGGCGCGACTGAAGACTGGCGGATTCCGTCCTCCTGCTTCGGTTATCTGCTGATGCATCATCAATCGAGTTCAGCTTGCTGCTATCCACTCTCACGATTTATCAGATTCGCTAATGGGGTTATGCCGCTCACAGACAGTATCAGGTGCGTGCCTGCTAAATCCGAAGTCACCATGGAAGTGTAAAAAGAACGGTGAGGGCGGATGTATCTGCATCCGTGCAGGACACCGACAAGGTTGAATCTTAAAAGACTGTAACCACCAGGTAGCCCACGCCCGTGCGTGTAATGGACTGAGGTCTCCCATATGCAAGTGCTGATATATCTGTCTACATGAACGCGGTTCAATCTGGCGCTAGAGATGGGATGGTAGATGAGAGGTATACAGTGAAGATGAAACCGGCGCAGTAGCTCTGTCTCGGGTGCACGCACACTGACACCATCCTTACCGCTTTCTCAGCACGTGCGGATCTACCTTCGGTGACATGACCAGAGCCTTCCACAGCTGTCTCCAAGAAATCGGATTCCCCTGGAACGTGGTGAGTTAAACCCGGTGCGAGAGGAGTTAGAAGGCTGACTTATCCCACTAACCTGATCGCGCTGCATGATACAGAAGGAGCATTCGACGTTATTGTACGCATACCTCTCGACATCCACCCAACCTTTGAACATCTCCTTCCTACGGTCGTAGCCGCCGATCCGAAGCCTAATAACGTCGGGGGCGCTTGGAGACTGATCTTGGGGCTTGAGTTTGAAGGTAATGCCCAAGTCCTCAAGGCTTTGCTGTATAAGAGGCATGAGGTCGTGCGGGGGTATTGAGCAGTAGAAACGAGTTAGGTGAGGGGTATATCTTCGCCCATTTTGCGTTTGGGACTAAAACAATATTCGTCAAATAAGTGAGTCATAATTTGAGATGAACTTACGAAGAGCAGCAGGGACTGCGTGAACTGAGTCTGATGAGCGGATTGCATAACTTGATCGCCGTCTGCATCCGTCTCCCTGCAAGTCAGTTCAGGGTTAGAATGTGTGACCGGCAGCTGCGCTTGGCGTTGCACGTACATCGGTACTTCCGGTGCAGCGATGTCGAAGTCCCCGACTGTTCTCAATGGCTGCGTCAAATGTTCTGCAAGAACGCCAACACCCTGAGCGGCAATAAAAGAGGCCCTGGTGGCGCTTTCAGAGCAGGTGTAAACGATTCGACAAAGAGAGATACATACCGCTGATACCAGGGATGTTGAATAATATCTGGGATAGTCATACGCCGCGACGGATCAATATTCAACAATCCCACAATTAAAGCTAAGACGCTGCGTCAGAACTGGGACGCAGCGCATATAGAGCTATAAAGACGAACATAGTACATCCTGGTCAAGACGATTCCACGGAGCTTCTTTCAAAATGTCACCTGAAAGATATCTCCGAAATTCGGGGGATTTCTTGGTGGGCTCGTCCCACGGAGTATCTGCATCAATCAGATCAGTAATTCTGGCAGAAAGCCATAGTGCAAATGGAGGACTCATACTTCCGGCGAGCAGGGTGAACAAAATAACTCCCATGCCCCAGATATCAATCGGTTCCGCTTGGTATGGAGACTCCGAGTTTAGCTATAGTTAAGGTGAGCCTAACATGGATAGTGCACTGGACGCATAATATCACCTCGGGCGCCACATATGGCAGACTCCCGCAGCGTTCTGTGAGCAATCTCGTCTTTCCGGTCTCTTTGAGCTTGTACACAGAGCTTAGGCCGAAGTCAGTTATCTTCAGAGCACCTGCCGCGTCTAAGAGGAGATTCTCTGGCTTCAGGTCTCGGTGGCAAACGCCTTGGCTGTGTATGTATTCCTGTTCACAGGTTTGACCTGGGTGGCAGGTCCTGTCTAAAGTGGAACGTACCATTCCAGAGACAAGCTGTGTGAAGTAGACGTGTGCGACGTCCTCGCCGATTCCCATATCAGGAACTGTCTATTTATCAGGGCACAGACTACAGGTTGAGTAAATGGATACGGTACCAATTTTGTCGAATAGATCGCCCCCAGCAGCGAATTCAAGGAGCATATAAGTGCCCGGAACGTACACTTGTTTGCTGGTTATTTCTACTATAATCGCATTAAAGAATTCGAGAACATTGGAGTGCTTGAGTGCGGCGTGTATACGCATCTCCTTGTCAAGCATCTTTCGGCTCGTTTCGGTAGTTTCCTTTGTTGTCAAGACCAATTTGCAGGCTGCTACTCTATGATCTGCAGCATTCACGGCCCTAAATACTCTACAAAATCCTAGTTAGTAAACATACGTTCGGATTGGTGTGGCAGCAAGCAAAGTATCTAGCCATATGTATCTTCGAGGACGATCTGACCTTGAGAAGCCACCGCCTCCGATTTGTTCGATGAGCTCAAAGCCTGGATTTATGAACATGAGCTCCCTAATGCGTCAAATGCATACTCACCTGTAACTTTAGGGTATTTACTCATTTCTAGTTCCTTCGTCTGCCTCAGGAGGAGAACGTTGTGAAGATCCTTTGTTCGACGCCACGCGCTGCCTCGCGTTCAATCACGAGGTCACGATCACGTGACTGTGACCCTTCGCTTCTCATTCGGAACCGAACGCGTAAGTTCAAGGATGAGAAAGACGCCCGTCGAGCGCTCAGAAGGCGAAAAAGGTTGTCCCCTGATCATGATGCGAGGCCATCGCGACGGCATGCGATGGGATTACGTCGGGTCAATCGTCCGCTGTATTGGCAAGACGGTCTGATGGACGAACCGTGGAATCGTCATTAAGGTAAGCGCCCTTGGACCCTGAGTTTCTCGTAACGATACAGCGTATAATCAGCTTGTATTTGCGTAGCACAGTACGGTGAATTGTCTGCACGAATGAGATACTTGCTTCACGGCTGCGCCTTATCAAAATTGGGCCTCAGTATACCGGGAGTTGGTCACCTGCATCCTGCGGTGGTTGCGAACGTGCGTCCGGCTAACAGAGTCGTGACTCATACACCCATGCACGTCCTGCGTCCGCGTGAGATGGGTGGATCCCATTTGAGTCGTCTACGAAGGAGGCTCTCCGAGCGATCGAGAGCGGCGAGCTCTCGACAAATTCTCGCGTTTCCTAGTCATTCCCAGAAACAAAGGAGACCCTCCAGGGCATGATGGGACCCGACTCATCACGAAGCACAGTGAGAAAAAATGTAGCTGCGTCTGAAGGGTCGAAGTGATGGGCCCTGGACCGCGGCTGCGTCGACAAGTCAGAAAGCGCTACTGCAGAGCTATAAAAGCGGCGCCGCGCGGCGGTAATCCCCATCCATAGGATCCTCCTCGAATACCCAGTACCTTCCATTCAAGCTTTTGAAGATGTTCGCAAGCGCCCGCCTCGTTGTTGCTGCAGCTGTCTTGTCTGCCACCATCGGTACGTTCGTTCATGGTGTGAGCAGAATTTGAACTTACTTGGTTTTCTCCAGCGTCAGCCCAAAGTGCTATTTGTGCTCGCAATTACACCGTTCACCTTGGTGATACTTGCGACGCCATTTCTGCGCAGCAGGGTGTCTCCACGTATGCCACGTTCACTCATGCGATAATTCAGCACACTGAGGAAACACCATTTGCCAGATACCAGCTTGCGTTCGTCAATCAGGGGCGGATAGATGCGGCATGCGACAACCTCGCTCTGGGAGAGGTGACAAGGACTTTTCTTGCTTACTCGTCATACTCTAAAACACATCCTTAGCCTCTGTGCTTGGGCATCCAAGGCCAAGACTGTGGATCCGTGCATGTTGTGTACTCAGGCGACAGCTGCTTGAACATCGTTGACAGCACGGGTGTGTCCCTGACAACCCTCCTGGCCAACAACCCCAACGTCAACGCCGAATGCTCCAACATTTACCCCGGTGAGGTATGTCTATGATTCCGCACCTTCCGTTCGGAGGAAGCGAGTTTTACGTCGACTCCCCGCACAGGTTTTATGCACCGCCAATCAGGTCTTCAACTATACGACGGTCTACAATTACACCTCTACCGCCTGAGTGGAATACACTCGATAAAGGGGCAATTTCTTCTGGGTGTACGGGGCGTGTAGCTCTCGTGTGATTATAGCGAATCGATTGGTGCAAAGATGCTACGTTGCTGTCATATCGTGCGGATCATAATTTGAGCTGGTTTATGGCTATCGATGCTGGACCATGCATCAATCTTCAGCTTGAGCCATACCTCATCCCATTATATACAAGCGTTCGCTTAAGGCATCGGCGAGCCTCTGAGGCCTGAGGCACGACCGAAGGCAAATGCAGTGGTTGACCCCTTCTGCAAAGTCCCCAGGAGGTAAAGTACGAGAACCAGAGCGGTTACCGTAGACTTCATTATCAATCTTAAGCGGGGTGTAGCGCAGCAATATGATGATGGGAGTGTGGCCTATTATAGGTTTCAGGATTACAGAATCGAGAACGAGCCATCTGTGGGCAATACTGGATGTAGCTTTCTAATATAAGGACATCTTTTCTTAGGTTGCCTACACCGAATCTCACCATGAAAGACGCTGCACCACAAGTATAACCATTTAAGGCAATGCATTTACCCAATGCAGTCGACCTTCATACATCCATGACAGAATCAGACAGATGTCAACCTCGGAGGGTCTCCGTCCGCTTCATATAAAAGCTGTAAGACACAGCTCCTGTGCCACCTTATTTCTTCTTCTCAGCAACCACTGTCATGTTATAGTGACAATGCCATTTTGAGACGTCGGTCGGTGTGCCTTCATGTTTCGCCGTCGAAAGAGTCACTAGGCAGGACCGTGGGAGGAAGGCCTTGATTTCGTCGAGATAAGTACTGGTACGCTGAGCTCCAAGCTATCTATGTAGTCATCCAGGGAATAACAATTATCGGGCACTTTAATGAGGGGAATACACCTCTTCAATGACTTTGAAAGTGTTGAGATGGCTCCCAGCGCTATGCCAGCGTTCTGTTGTTGCCTTCCTTTTCGGGAAGGTCGCCACTGTTACGCGCTGTGACACGCTGACTCCTCGAGGCTCGTTAAAGACCTCCAAGGGTCGGCCTGCGACTGATTTTATCCTTGACCACAACCGCCATTGTCCTTGCATCGCGGCAGTCGCTATGTTCGCCTGAGTTGCTGAGGTCCAAAGGGCCCTCCCCTTCTCTGGCGATCCATATATATCTTGGAAGCATAGCACGTCCCCGACTACCTGTTCAAGCTTGCAAACCTTCATATTATGGAGTCTGCTGAAGAATTACAACAGTCGGAGATAACTGCGCTGAAGTCTATCTATGCTGATCAATTCGTGGAATGCCCTCCTTCCAACGTCTGGAAGGTAAGTCTGCTCTATTGCGTTTTGGCTGGCTTGGGGCACGGGGCCATGAACGAGTGATCGGCGGCATTTTTCGGGGAGATCTTGAGACATAGATGGTCCCAGAGGTTATTGTGGTGTTATGGAGGATCTGCGTTGACGACGGCGGCTTGCAATGAGGATCGATTGCGCCCGGAGGAGAAGATAGGGGCTATTCTTAGACCAGGGCCACTATGATTTTTACCGTGAATACGTCCTTTCTTCACGAACATGAGTTAACACTAGTTTCGTCGGAAACAGGGGGCACCCAAACAACCTGAATTCATCATCAAAGTAGTCCATCCTGACGAAACTCATGCGAACAAGATTTATTTCCACTTGCATGTCAAATTCCCGAAGACGTACCCACTCTTGGCGTACCCCATATTCACAATCCGCAAGCCCTTCGAAGGGCTCGCCAGCAGTCATGTTACGAAATTGAGTCAGGCGATACATGCCGAAGCGCAGAAGCAGAAGGGGTCGGAGATGGTCTTCCAGATCGTCACCTTCGCGCAGGACTGGCTGAATGATAACGTGAAGCCAGCCGTTGAACCGGTAGGCTCCCTTGCGATGCTGATGAGCCAGCGTGCGCTGGAGGAAGAGAGAGCGCGGAAAGAGCGAGAGCAGCTGGAGGCGGAACAGGAGCTGGAGAGGGTGCAGCAGCTCGCACAGCAACTCACGGAAGAGATTCAGGCCGACGCGCAGAGACAGGAGTTAGAGAAGCAGAAGAATATCAAGGCTCGCAAGAGGGCTGAGTCTGATGCCACCGAGGTGCCGTCGTCGGGGGACACGCCGACGGAGACGTTCAGCCAGGAAATACGCGTGCGTGATGTAGCTTTTCACACAGTGAAGTTATTCCACCCAAAGCGAGGTACGTGCCGTCTTGGAGGTATGGCTAGTCAGCTTATATTGCGTAGAATGCCTTGGAGTCACCTATCTCGCGGAACCCGTCTGTGATGATGTGAATGTGACTCTACCACTTGAGCTACACGTCTACACGTTTGAGGCATCATACTACACCACCAGTCAAGGTGAGTCTGATAGAGCCACCAGGAACGTCCGTCTGAACCGCCTTTGAAGGGCGCAAGAAGCTGAAGCAACTCGAGTCGGACATCCAGAAGCTGATCACGATCCGACATGAGAACCTTATTAGCGTCTACGCTGTAAAGTTGACTATGCCTCATACGTCTGACCCAACGCGTCTGGCTATCCTATGTGAGCAGAGGCCATCTATGACTCTCCTGGATGTCTTGGAAAATTGCGATACATTGCGGGAAGAGCGAACTACGGTACAATTAAAGCAACTAGACCACATAACTGCGTATTGACAGTGGCTCAGGAATATCTCCTACAAGTGCTGTCGGCTTTGCAAGCAATTCATGAGGCCGATTTGATTCACCGAGGTGAGTACGATCGAAGTCTCATACTCATAGGGAAAGACAGCTATATTCCATGTTGATTATAGGACTCGATCTTCGATGTATTTGTCTCGCGAACGACGATTCGCAGTCGAAGACGAAGCTGGTCAAGATTCGCAAGGCTTGTTACTACGGAAAGCTACTTGATTTACATCGGTCCAACCCGTTTGGCTACAATGTCCCTAATGGTGAGGAACCTCAGATTCCGGATACATGGTGAACGCCTTCCTCGCCAAGCTCTTTTTCAGCCATCTCACTCATACCTCGTAGGCTACCCAAGGACGCGGTTGATTCGCCTTTGTTGTATACCCGAAGCCGAGACATTCATTGCGCTGGTGTCGTCGTGCTGCAGATGCTCTTAGGTCGGGATGTTATGCAAAGATTCATCGACCCTCAAGCTGCTCTGCATGCTTGCGATATTTCGCCCACGCTCTATCAGGTGACTTCGAGTATGCTGACTTCTGGCAAGAAGAAGGCGGTATCGTGCTATAGCCTTATCCGAGAATTGTCGGGATCCATTATCTCGCCCGGGATACGCATGCGAGACAGGGCGATTACATTCTCCGGTACGTCGTACCGTGCTTACGTGCATCAGATTCCCCTTTAAGCAGCATCTATGACAGACGTCAAGACTCCTGTGCCATATAATATGTCTGCATCTCCGGAAGAGTACTTCACGGTGCCTGCACAGAGAACGAGGCATTCGAGTCGGTGGAAGGAGGATTGGGAAGAGCTTGAGCTTCTGGTAAGTCGGTTACCGATGTGCGTAGCCTAGCGCGTCATCCCGGGCTCTCCACAGGGTAAAGGCGCATTTGGCTCAGTCGTCAAAGCCCGTAATAAGATTGACTCGAGGATCTATGCAGGTACGTGTGGCCCTGATCAAAGGGATTATCTGCTCAGGGTGTGCTGTAGTGAAGAAGGTCCGTCTACGTGCTACCCAAAAAGACACCAGGATCTTCAGAGAGGTGAACGCTCTAAGTCGCCTCAATCATCGCTTCATTGTCCGCTATTATACTACTTGGGTCGAGACATCCGACCCATTCGCCACCCCTCTGTCTTCAGGTTCTGATACCGAGGAAGATGGAACCGAAGACGGTCTCACCTCTGTAGCCTCTCGCAGACGAAGGGAGAATTTTTCGAATGACCCTTTCAGCATTGACCTGGATGACTTGGAGTCGGGTGCAGGAAGCAAGTCATCATTCCCCAGCATCCATTTCACACGTTCCGGCTCTTCGAGGGCAGATAATGAGACTGATAATGACGACGAGGACAATGGGAGTGACGAATCCGACCAGAACTTTTTCGCGCTGCTGGACACAAACGGCAATGGGGTACCTTCCCCTGCTGTCTCAAGGACCCTATACATCCAAATGGTATGTAAAAATACTTCACGTGGCCCCTTATTTTCTGACGTCGATCTAGGAATTCGTGGAGCGCCAGACGTTGAAAGAGGCAAGTCGGACTGTGCTACGGGATCATTCCTTTTCATTAACACATCGTAGCGCATTGCCGAAGGTTTATCCGAAGACGAAGCGTGGCGCTTATTTATGCAGATCGTGGACGCCCTAGTGCACATGTCTAGCCTCGGTATTGTGAGTCGTCCCATAGCTCATATTCGAGACATGTCTTTGACTAGCGTCGGACAGCTCCATCGAGATATCAAACTGACTAACATATTCATCGGTACGTTCATTCACACGTCGCGATCAGAGCCACGTTTGATTGATCGCCTTACCCTCTTGAAGATGGCAAAGGCGACTGCAAAGGTCAGTAGCGCCGATGGCCCTGCATATATTTATTGGGTTTTAACTGCAGCCGATAGTCGGCGACTTTGGCCTTGCAACCTCCAGTCTCGCTGCAGTCGATCCTTCTGATGTCGCGCCTGGCATCGTAGGCAGCGACGATATGACGCTGGGTACGGCGACACTCCCCAATAGGATATATCCTTCGCTAAACATTCCCTTGTCAGAGGTGGGAACTAGACTGTATATTGCACCAGAGGTGCAGTCCCATAAGAATGGTCCTCGTCGAAATCAGAATAAAGCGGATATGTATAGCCTGGGAGTATGTTAGGTCATCGGCTTCTGATTCTCGGGCTGAAGTGGTTTTTAGATCGTGTTCTTCGAGATGAACTACATGTTCAGTACCGGGGCTGAACGCATCGCAGTATTGGAGGATCTTCGTAAGCCCCAGATTATCTTCCCTGCTGGCTGGGAGCCACATCGAGCACGGCAACGAGAGAGTAAGCTAACCGTTCGTCACGTTGACAAAATGCCGACCGTATTACTATAGTCATCAACTGGCTCCTACAACATGACCCCAATGCTCGTCCATCAGCTCTCGAGCTCTCGCAAAGTCCGTTGCTGCCACCTAGGGTGGAGGACGAATATTTCCGAGGGGCGATACGAATGATGGGTGAGCTCACTGCTTCCTGCTCTCCCCGAGATGTTTATTGGAATGATCTGTCCAGCGAAACAAGACTCGCCCCATTATCAGGCGGTGCTCTCCGCTCTTTTCAATCAGGCATCCAAGCCAGCCAGGACTTTCTTATATGACAAAGAAAGCCGGCTTCCCGAGCACGCGTCACTGAACGACATTGTAGAGCAGACACTAACTGGTATCTTTCAACTGCACGGGGCCGTCCACATGGAGCCTCTTCTTCTTATGCCTGCCATGGATCCCGAGAATGAGCACAACAGAGTCTTACTCCTAGATCGGCACGGCGAGGTTGTTGCCCTGCCGAATGATGCTCTTGTACCCTTCGCCCGTCTTGCAGCCCGAGACAAAATGAGAAGAGTAAAACGCTTTCACGTCGGGAACGTCTATCGACCTAAGTGAGCTGTTTCCTCATCTTACACGTTACCTGGCATTGAAGAAGCTATCGTAGCGTGACTACCGGGCATCCGAAGTATACCAAAGCAGCGGTTTTCGACATCATCAGTCCCGACCTCGAATATGGACCCATCGCAGCCATCGCAGAGTCAATAGCAATAGTCAATAAGTGCCTTGATAGTTTCCCGGGCATCGGGCAAGATTACGAGATTCACGTTTCGCATTCCAAGGGTTAGACCACTTCTGTATGCTCACGTTTGTCTTCTCAGCTAATTCACAACAGTACCGGACCTCATCTTCCACGGCATTTCGGAAGAGACCCGACAGACTGTGTTGAACATCTTGACTCGCACGAAGTCTTCCTGGCCACAGAAACGCACTTTACTGCTCAATAAAGGTCTTCTTCGAAGCATGGCGGACGACCTAGAGGTCCTATCCGAGACTTGTGAGTGCGCTGCCTCGAATACTATGTCTGCAATATTTGACACTTTCCAAGACGGCGACGTCGATTCAGTAGTAACGAAGCTCGAGAAGGCATCTTCAAGTGTCTTGATTCAACTTACGCCTGCCATTCAGGAAGTGAAGAAAGTGCTCGAGTATACTGGTAGTCTTGGGGTTACAAGACGTATACATTTCCGACCCCTGATGCTGGGCAACCACAACTCACAGTTCAAGGGGGGTGTCTGTTTCGAGGTTACCAAACGTAATAAACGGACCGATATCTTGGCAGCGGGAGGAAGGTGTGTGAGGTCTATGTCCACAGTGTCGCATCCGCTGACGCCTAGCGCCAGATATGATTCTTTGATTCGACAATTTACTCCCCCCGATCCCACCGCCGATTCCTTCTGCGCTATGGGTTTCCAGCTGGCTATTGATAAGATCACGAGTGCCCTGGCAGTCTTCCAGAGTACTTCGGTCAGGAATCTGGTCAAGGAACAACGCTCGTTCGGGTTCTGGAGTCCCCGGCGATGCGACGTCTACGTTGTCTCTTATCATCCCGGATACTTGCTGGATCGTCTCGAAGTCGCCACCCTTCTGTGGCAGAATGACATCAGTGCCGATGTCATGTACGAGTCGGGGCTACCGGAGGGCGAGAACGAGAGTCATGCAGACCTGTGCTCCAGAGAAGGAATACTGTGGGTCGATCCCAGGATTATCTGAGCCCGATGGTCCTCACATCTCACTAGGTTCACTGTGGTTCCGAGACCCCGGACAGTCAAGCGCGAGCAAGCTGCCTTCAAAGTAAGGAATATGCTCAAGGGAACCGAAGATGAAAGTGAGCGTCATGATTAGTTCAAAGTTTCTATCAACTTCTGACTTCTACGTTCAGTTTCTCGGGCTGAACTTGTCGGATGGCTCCAGCAGCAGATCGCTGAGCAGAAGAAAGTCGATACTTCGACTTCTGGAGTCTCTGCAGTGCCCGAGCTTCCTGTTGGTCCTGCCGCTATTGCCAAAGAAAACTCTGGCACCTCAGAGATTCAATTGTTGTTACCCGGCGAGACGAAGAAGCAGATGAAAAGGTCGAAGCAGTTGTTCATGGATCGAGGTACGTGTTACCTCTCAGACTCCAGTCGACGATCAGGTTGTTCACGCCTTTCGACAGCCTTCGATACAGCCGCTCAAGTGAAATCGGCGGTTCAGACGGGCATTCCTGTGATCGCTGTTGATGTACCGTTGAATGTCTTCGATGTCCTTGTCAGAGACTCAGCTTGGGTGACCGACGAAGATGCTTGGAAGGCAATCCTCGCCAACTTACCTAGTCAGCATTCTGGGTATGGTCATCAAATTCGCGAGCAGGTCGCGAAACGAAAAGCGGAGGGGCGAAGATTCGTGTTATTGTTTGCCGTGCGAGACGAGCGGGTGCAAATTCTGGACCTCTCGTAGAAGACTAATATCACCGGACTATTTTATTTATCGGGGTGGGAGCATAATTGTATTGTTTAAGTGTAAAAGGGATCTACCTGTATCTTATATGTATAAACCTACATAACTAGTCCCATGAACATCTATGTTATATGTCGTATCTGAGACGCGAATGAGTATAACGCTCAGCGATCCTCAGACCTTCAGCCAGCCAATTCTGTAGTAAGCATACCCAACTTCGGCACCGTTGCCTCGGTATCTAACATCGCCACCCGCCTCGCAGACTATAGACTCTTTGCTGAGTATTCTGAGGTCCCACGTACGTTCGGTGTTCTCCACAGAACTCTCGGTATCCGCACGAGAAAACACACGCTCAATGGTCCCAGACTCTGCGGCATGGGTGGAGCGTAACGGAATAACGAGATGGAACTGGGGCGGATGCCCGCCATCCGCGTCAGCGGGCTTCCTTAGGAGCTTCTTGACACAACCTTTGATCCATAGTGCATGTTCGGATTCATAGACGATGTCAGCTCCTAGGATGACATCGAATGGCGTGTTGAAAGGTGGCGAAGCGCCTTCCGAATCTTGACGGTAATACTGCGCCCAGTCGAGAAAGTGAGCTGAGACAGACACATAATCGGATGATCCTGTACCAGGGAAGTTACGCAGGATATTGTGTTCCAAGTTGGCCAGTATGGATGGGTGGTAGTCGGTTGCGACGACTGAGCAATTGCGGGCATCTGCGTTGCAGCGCGCTTGAACCAATTTACCCACAACCAGACTGACAAGACCAGTCCCAGCACCAACCTCCAGCACTCGAAAGGGGCCACGCAGCGCGGAAGCGGTGATGCCGAAGTCTTGCGGCGATTGCACTATCATTTCAGAGAGCACGCAAGCGCCTCCCCAGGTCTGCGCTCCGACACTGGAGTAGTCATGATTGTCGAGGGGGATATCTGTGAGCTGCACCTGGACCTTCCCCTGGTCGAAAGCGAAATTTCGCGAGATGGTACCTGCAGATGCAGTACCTGCGCAGATGGCGAGCAGTGCGGCTGCGTCCTGTACAAGGCTGTCCAGTGAAACGACGGCGGAGGCCACACCATCGGTAGCATCAGCCAATCGATCCGCTCGAGCACAGAAAGCCGTGAGCCAGCGGATGGCATACGTCCGCTCGAACGAGTCCGAACGGAGCTCATCCAACGCTTGATTCTCGGGATCTATTGTTGCTGGCTTGTAGACAAGGTTCTCGGACGAGGGAGCATCATCCTGGGTGGGATAACATCTTCTGCGACTGAGGATTTTGGAGCCTCGCACGTTTGGACTGTAGAGTCTACGGAGGTACAACAGCCTTTCTGATAGCTCTTCAGGCGAACAATTTATGATTTTTGCGATCGGAGGTAAAACGACCGTAGGTGGATGCAAGGGAGGCATCGCAAATTGAAAATGCGATGATGATTGTCGAGAAATCGAGTGGTATATCCCTTATCTATGAGACATCCATAGTGTCGAATCGAAAGGTGTGGCAATGGGAGCGGCGGATTGGGATGCACAAGTAGTGCCGCTTCGCAAAGACTTTGCCAAACACTCGCACACACCTACCAAACGCTCTGGCCACAAATCGGTCTGTTCAATCAGTCATTTAGTCTGCCAGGCTTGTGCTGATTCTGAATCGACTTGACAGAACGAGTGTGGATAGTACATCTTAACATGCTTCCTTCGCAACAGATGGGGTATGGTCTGGGAAATGCTGGTGGTGCCTTGTATTCTGCCCAGCCGAACTACTCTCAAAACTTGAACGGGTTTTACCCTCAGCAATTCTTAAGTCAGCCCTTCCCGGAGTCCAGCCTCCAAGGAACCGATCCGAACTCGCCCGAGCTATTCAAACAGAATATGCATATTGCTCAAGAACTGCTAGCGCGGATAAGCGAGAACGCGAGAAGCGCTTTGATGAGCATGTGGGTTCGCCCCCGGACGTACCCTTGCGGTCAATACTGAGAGCGGTTCTTCATCTTTCGCGTCTCAGTGAGAATGCCTATCACCCAGGCACTAGTCTAGCACAGACGGCAGGTACGACGCTACTCTCCACTTTGGAACATCACCTCTGAGATACCAATCTTCATGCTAGCCTACGTCACCGTGCTCAAGCAACAGATTCAGGCTCTTGTCACTTTGATGCGGCAGAGCGGTGTAGGCGCTCTGCCTCTCCTAACTCCCGCAATGGGTGTCATGCCACCCGAAGAGCAGCTCCTAGCTGATGCCACGAAGGGGATACAGTTTCTATACGAGAAGAATAAGAGGATTCAGGACAGCGCTGGGATAGTCGCAAGCCTCCTCGGTGCCAACGAGCATACCAGGAGGTAAGAGATATGAGAAATCGAAGTTGGTCGAGTGCATCTGGCGGTCGCCGCTGCGCGAAGAAACGTGTACCATTTACGATGAACACCTTGTTCTCTTGTACGGATAACGGACTACTCCGTATACTGAACCTGTGCTCCTCAGGGATCTCACTAGCGTCCATATCTGGTCATACAAAGGTTGGACGTTGGACAGTCGAAGCAGGAGAACGCCGACTTCTAACCACAGGCGGTGTCACGAGAGCGAGCCTTGAATCGAGCTGCCCATGGTACACGTACTGCTATGTTGGATGCATTGCTTCAGAAGAGGAGAGCGTATCATAGCAACATGGATTACCTAGCGAAGAGGAGAAGGAATATGCAAGTAATACGTACGTCTATCGCATTCTACGCTAGCATTCCTCGAAACTCTCAGTCTTTACCTCCTCGCGGCGTGGCTTGCCCCAGATATCGAAGATCTGGACTTTCTTGTATCTAGTTATCGCGCACGCGAGCTGCGTGCCGTCGGGGCTGAGAGCGCTTCCATCGACCCATCGGCCTACTGACTCGGAGCACGCTACTTGATTCAGAGTGGACGCGTCCAGGACATTAACGCCGTGCTGAAGACCCGGTCGATATCCCTGCTCAACTGAGTCGTCGAACCAAGAGGGATTGGCGGGCTCGCAGAGGGTGAAGACGAGTTCTTTGACACCTTCGATGGGCGAGAAATGGAGAGACGAGATTCCACTGGTGCCTCGATAGTAAGGCACAACGCGGGTCTGCCAATGCTGGCCATAGTTCCAGAAGGTAATTTCAGAAGTGTCATTGTCGAAATCGGTCGCCGCCGACACTACAAGCTGGGGATTCCACGGCGTCCATGCTAGAGCCTACGGAGGATTCAGTAAAGAACACAAAAGCACAAGGTGACGGACATACCGTGATCACTCCAGGTTCAACCGGGCTTTGGTTCCACGGTTCTGTCTCCCTGGGATGCTCGTGTAGTCCGGGCGGCTTGAAAGTCAAAGGCATTTTCGTGTGCCGGTTATCGTACAGCAGGACATTGCCGCAGCTGTCCCCACTAGCAAGGACGAGGCCGTCCTGTCGCCAGCTGAGACTGGAGATCCAGCAGCTGTGGTGCTTGCGCTTAGCGAGAACGCCGCCTGGACCTTTGACGCGAGGGTCAATATTCACGATCGTGCCATCCTCCTGGCCGATGGCCAGAGTTTGTCCCTGCCATTTGGCCGAAGTGATGTCTCCGACCGCGACCTCGCGGTAAAACTTTGCAGCATTGACATCGAGCAGGCGAAGGTTGCCCATGGTGTTTACGACCGCCAAGGTGTTGGGAATATCGTTGCCAGCAGGCTCGAATACTCGGATCGCGTCATAAGACTTGGGGAGCTTACAGAGATCGCTCTCCCGCCCATTATTCCACATCACCTTCACTATAAGGCGTTCTTTGCGCTGAAAGACGAGTAGATCGTTCCTCGTCCACGCCAAGGCGCTCCTCGCATGCCTGCGGTCCAGTGGCTCCTGCCCTTTGGAAGAATAGGGACTTGTAAAATTCAAGTCCTGAAAGTATCTGCCAGCGGATAACCTTGACACTGAGGCGTGCCCGTGGAGGGCACAGTAGCCATGCCCATTCCACATGAAGCGGGAGTCCCTGCTATCCAGGTCGTGATATCTCGGCGAGGCGAACGCCTCATTCTGCACCGGATAGGTGGGAGGAGTGACGTCGGACGGAAGGGAGCCGGACAGAGCGAAGCCGGACTGCGTGCGGATGCTCGAGGAGACGCTGCTGCGTCGAGAGCGGCTGGGCGTGCGACTTGTGGAGGGCGCTCGCATGCTTTGCGAGGTGTCCACCCTCCGAGTCGAAAGGCTCGATCTGTTCGACTGCCGTGCGGGTGTGACGGAACGAGACGGAGGAGGCATAGACGCAGTTGAGGTGAACATCGAGGCCGTCCTGGCTAATGACCGAGCGGCACGGTGGATGTCAGAGGTCTCGGAAGACAAGGAGCCTGACGGGACAGGTACACTAGAAGGCGGCTCCTCAGTCTGCCCAAGGAGCCAATGTACTATCTCCTCCCGGTTGGTAGAAGAGCCATAGGCTGTCCGCTCGCCATCGACGGACTCTTCTCGGGCACGTTTGTTAGATAAAAACGACTCCGAAGTAAAGGAGTGTGTCCGCTTGAGCCCAGAAAGCCCGGCCTCGGCATCCCGAGCGGACTGGTAGATAGTCGAGGTCGACGGTGCAACAGAAGGAGACCGATGGCGTGTCGTGGTGGAGCGCCCGGCCTCCGCGTTCTGCCGACCTCGATTCACCGCAGAAGACGACGAGGCATCCGCGGGAGAGGGGCTCGTTGTTGACGCCGACGTCGCAGCCGCAGAATCAGAGACTTCCGGGCCTGATGCGTCGAAGCCCCTGCGGATTAGCAAGGACTTTGGCTTTCTGACGCCCTGCGGCTTCATCCTGGCGGCTCGCCGGACCCGGGGTGCCGTATTAGCAGTCGGAGCCTCCGCAGGGACGCTAGCAACCTGCCCAGAAGACACAGGAGTCGTTCTTGGTCCTTCTGGAGCAACTTCACCTTGAAGGGGAGCCTCCGCCGGAGAGTGAGGTCGATTCGACTCGGAGGAACCGACTTCTGGGACTGGAGATGCAAGGGTGGTAATGTCGGCGGGCGGCTCTGCCAACGGAACGCTAGGGGTCTCAAGCGGGGTAGAGGGTATCGGTTTCTCCACTACGGGAGCGCTGGGTGGCTCGGAAGAGACAACATTAGTCACTGACTCCTCTGTATGGTACAAAGTGAGTTAAGCTTGAGATCGGAACAGAGACTGGAAATCCCACCCTTGCCATCACGCAGTGCGGTATCAGTAGTAGAAGCCATGTTTTCAAGTTAGAAAAGTGCTGAAGAAGTTAAGCGGTCTTGGATGGTCGAGGATCGTTGGAAACTGCCACTGATGATGGGAATTGGAAAGCAGAGGGCGTCCGGTCCCCTGCGGCTTATATCAGGGGGATGTTTGGCCTTATTGGTCCTCGTTATCACTGTTTGTCCAGCCGACGGGCATAAGGCGGACGCTTCTTGTGGCACGGCGGGAGGTTACCTTCATCCCAGTTAGGCAATTTGATGGCAATGCGCGCAGTCACGGCGCGATGGAAGCGGATAGAAGACCAAATCTATCTGTAAATGGGTAAAAGCTCATCGATAGCTTCCACGATATGAGATAGGGTGCTTCGAATGTGGCTGGCGGTGGCAGTCTGTGGCCAGAGACCCTGAGCCTGAGTGGATTGGGGGACTGGGTGAGATTAGCCGACGTCTTATCTGGGTATAGGGCACGCTTCATTGTCCCCTTATTCGCGAAAGAGGACCCGGGTGACAAGGCCCAAGGACACCATTGTCGACGTGACCGGTATCCGGGCCATTGCTCCCTGGCTCGACGGGTTGACAGCACATCGGGTAAGGCCTTCACTAACGTCACTATCATCACTTTCTGACTGTTGCATATGCGCTGTTCCTATTTTGTGGTGGGTTTGAGACGCTTGGGTTCCCAATCTTTTGACAAGTGCGAAACAGAGTCGTCGCTGCGAGCCGCGTCTTGCCTTTGGAAAGCCCGGAAGATGTTCGGCGTCGACGCATCATGATGGGATTGGATCGTACCACCATAATTTCGCATTGTCCATGAAGTTAAGCTGTTCCTTTGGTTCTTCAATCCTGGAAGAGGTAGCATGCCCCCATCGTATTATTTGGAGCGGGTGGTTACGAATGCTGGCGTAGCAACCATTGCCAGATAGAGCGAGGTTAGTATTGGCGTCGTGGACCCAGCGACGGGATGAGTTCTCTCCTGCTATAATTCAGTTCCGTTTCTGCAATATCAAAGAAGATGAGGCAAGATCGGTTCAGGCGCCATCAGGGTGCCGGCCGGTGACCGCGCCGTTGGCAAAGATGAGGAGACTTTACTGCCTTTTATTCTATCGCCTCCCGGCGCAAGGACCGCAGGACGACTCAGCAATCCTCGTGGATGAATGGGATTTCAATGATAATTCCTGGGCATTTGCGTATTGCTTTCTGCATAACTGCCTGCAGACAAGCAGACGTATAGACTTCCCGTTCCCGGGGGGAGGTAGAGTCAAAGAAATCAGCGGAGACTCTGACAACAGCGACGAAGACGGATGGGTTTGCAAAGGACTTTTCGACGTTCGTTCGTGACGGTGATAGTGGGACCCTATTTGTCTCTTCCTAATCTCGTGACGCCTTACAAGCAGTGTCACGGTCTCCTTCATCTTAGCCACCGACGCGTCCCAGCCCTGCTGAAGCGCTTGCCCTCTGTGTCTGAGAAATACCACTAGTATGCCGTTGGATTGAAGCCCTTGAGAGCCAGGATATAGGAAATCTGCCTTTCTGGTGGCTGACTCGTTGACTCCTACCAGGCGGAAATCTCAGAAGACCGGCCGCCCGAGCACGTACACACCTGCATAGCGAATTGATTGAAGGGCAATAGTCTACCTACGTAACTCAAGAAACCGAACATATACGAACACCTCGATACCGATCCGTGAACATGTCTGTACAGTACCAAATGCTTCCCCTTCTCCCTTTCCACAAATCCATTCTCGAACGTATACATGACCCCGCAACCAGCGACTTTGTCCTTCTCGCGCGCGGCCTCGGACTGCGAAGAATAGTATGCACCCTGATGAAGATCTATGACTCCCCACAGACTTTGACGCTACTGCTCAATGCGTCACCTGAAGAGGAATCCGCTATCGGGGAGGAACTCGGCGTGATGGGGTGTAGAAAGCCTGGTCTCAGGATTGTCGGGTATGAGATGGGGCGGAAAGACAGGTGCGTTTCCTATCCAGAGGTATCAGGGATGCCTGAGGTAAGAAGCTAAACTTCGACATATTATGGTAGACAGGATCTATACAAGCAGGGCGGCCTCATTTCCGTTACCTCCCGCATCCTCGTCGTCGACATGCTCCAGTCCGATATACCAACCGAATTGATCACCGGCATCATCGTCATGCATGCTGAGAAGTTTGTGCGTTAGTTTATCATGCGTGTCCGCATTATTCACCTCTCTCTACCACACGCTCTCTCGTGGCGAGCAGGGTCACGCCGCTGTCTCTGGAGGCCTTTATAGTGCGGCTGTACAGAGAGAAGAACAAGAACGGGTTCCTCAAGGCCTTCTCGGACGAACCTGAGCACATCACCAGCGGACTGTCTCCCTTGAGGAATATCCTAAAGGAGCTACAGCTACGCACAGTTCACATCTACCCCAGGTAGCTTAGCATAACACTGCTTCGCGACGGCATTTGACTCCTCACTCTCCAGATTCCACGAAGAGATCAAGCAATCCCTCGAACGTCGTCGAGCAGACGTCATCGAGATCTATCCGCACCTCACTGAGTCCATGAAGGACATACACGGTGCCATCGTACAGTGCATGTCTACAACGCTCGCTGAGCTCAAGAGGTCGAATACCACCGTGAGTAACCTTCGGCTTTACGTAGCACAAGACTGAGTTGTGACATCAAGTTGGATCTGGACGACATAAATGTCGAGAACGCGTACTTTCGCTCGTTCGACGCCATTGTCCGGAAGCAACTCGACCCCGTCTGGCACAAAGTCGGGCCAAAGACGAAGCAGCTCGTCAGCGACCTCGCGACGCTGAGACGGCTACTGATGTCGGAACCGTTGTCCGCTCTTCACCATATTCAGGACTAACCCCCCTCCTTGAGTATAGGTATCTTCTGACGTACGACGCACTGGCGTTCCACGCGTACCTGGAGACCATCGTCACCTCCAATATCACCGGCGCGGGGGGCGGCCAGCGGCAGCACCAGAGTCCGTGGCTCCTCACCGACGCCGCGAACGTCATCTTCCAGGTCGCGAAGCGCCGGTGCTACACGCTCTCGCGGAAGGCGCCGCTCGCGCCCGCGACCGAGCTTGATCTAGCGGACGACGAAGACGCGTGGGCAGCGCTCGATGAAGTCGAGTTCGGTAATGAAGGTGGGCATTCGGGCACCACGGACGGGAGCAAGAAGAAGTGGCTGCCGAAAGGGATGGACCCCGTTCTGGAAGAGCTGCCGAAGTGGGAGACTCTGGCGGAGGTACTCCAGGAGATCGAGGAGGAGATGATGAGATTCGAGGGCATAGGGCGGACGGGATCCTGTGAGCACGCACTGTTTGTCCTACTAGGTTCGTATTTGATAGGTTGCGTGCAGTCACGCCGGGCAGCAATACTGTCCTCATCATGACGTCCTCCACTCGGACCTCCAACCTTATCACAGAGTACCTAGAGTCCATGGACACAGACGCTCCGTCAGGTCAGAAAGGGAGGCGGATGATGGAGCGCAAGCTAAGGTTGTACCTGTGGTGGAAGAGTAAACTGAGTGACCGAAAGCAGGACGGTAAACCTGGCTTCGGGTTGCCCGATAGGGTGGGAGATAGGCTCACCGATGACGCGGCGGACGGAGAGGTGAGTGAAGCCTTGAAGAAGAAGGATCGGGAGAGGAGGGAGAGACAGCAAAGCAGGAGGCGAGTTAGAGGAGGGGCCGCGAATGCCGCTCCGAGCCAAAGACGTGCGGAGAAGCGGGGCGCTGATGGGGTTGTGGGTGAGAGTGAGGTGAAGGATGAGGCCGACAGCATTGCTGAATTGTGAGTGTTCCCAGCGATTGAGAGTTTGCGCAGTACTCAGGTACGGCTGAAACCTATGCAAAGTCTGCTAACCCAGGGCACAGGCGCCGGCGACCTCCTGTCTCTCGATACCCCAGAACCGTCCGCGCTAACGGCATTCGATGAAGACATTGCTCGTTCGCTGGACGCTCCCGGATTCTCCGAAGAATTCGACTCTGTATACGGTTTACTGGCGCCGCAGCAGACGATAGTCGTGCGGGCCTACTCCGATGATACTGATGACATGATGCTGGCGGAGATACAACCTAGATTCATTGTCATGTTTGAACCGAATCAGGATTTCGTCAGGCGTATTGAGGCAGGTATCAAGAGTCCTCCGTCCGTGCCTCACATCCTCACGCATAACCGCAGGTCTACAGAAGTTCAAGTCCGGGTTTAGGGGTCAGGGTATATTTTATGGTGTATCGGGACAGTTCCGAGGAACATAAGTATCTTCTTGGTCTCCGTAGAGAGAAGGAAGCATTCGAGCGGTTAATCAAAGAGCGAGGGGTGCGCCTATTCCTTCACGACTGCAGGCTAGATGCTTGACACGCCGGGTTTATAGTCCATGCTTATGCCCATCCTCGAAGAGAGAAGATCAGGCTCCAACGACGCTGTCATCAAAACGATAAGCAGTCGAATAGCTGGTGGGCGTAAAGAACTGAACAAGGAACCTTCGAGGGTTCGTGCCAACCGCGGTCTATTAATTGCACTCGAGCCTAACTGCGATCCAGGTCATCGTCGATTTGAGAGAGTTCCGGTCCTCCTTGCCGTCGCTTCTGCATGCGTCTGGGCTGCAAGTTATTCCTGCTACCCTGACAGTCGGCGATTACATCCTTACGCCAGACATGTGCGTGGAGAGGAAGAGTATCCCGGATCTGGTCTCGAGTTTCAACAGTGGACGACTGTGCGCTTCGCTCTAGGCCTTCACCGTGGAAAATTGCTAATGAGCGGACAGGTACACGCAATGCGAGCTCATGTCGGTTCACTACAAGCAGCCGATCCTCCTGATCGAATTCGAGGAGCATAAATCCTTCTCCTTGGAGGTGAGTGGACATCTTGATGCTTGCCTCTGGCACTTCTGACTAATCGTGCACGGCTAGACAGTCTCGGACATGAAATCGTACGTGAAGCCAACGGGCAAATACCCTCCGAAGAAAACGGCCAACGGCCCTAACGACCCCGATGGGCGCTCGTCCGGACCGACCATCCAATCCAAGCTCGTCCTGCTCACCCTTTCCTTCCCGCGCCTGCGCATCATCTGGTCCTCATCTCCGTACGCCACCACCGACATCTTCGCGGACCTGAAGACCAACAACCCCGAGCCGGACCCGTCCGTCGCTGTCTCCGTCGGCGCCGAGGATGATTCGGAGAAGGGCGCGGGCGTGAACGCCACGGCGGAAGAGCTGCTGAGGTGTCTGCCCGGGGTGACGGCAAAGAACGTGCATTTCGTGATGGGGAAGGTAGGGAGCGTGAGGGAGTTGTGCGAGTTACCGCTCGAACGGGTACAGGAGATACTAGGCGTCGAGCCGGGGAAGGCGTGCTATGAGTTCATGCACAAGGGCGAGAGGAGGCGGTAGCAGTATTCCGCACGCCCGCGTCTGCGGCGCGTTTACGGCGTAGTTGCACCATTGTATAGTCTCCTCACTCGAGGGCAGAGGACGTATAGTATAACATTATCGTACAGTCCGCGACCACCTGAAGCGGAATAATTATACACACCGGTCCTCACCACCGCCTGTCCCGAATACCTCTATTGCCCCTGCCCCGCTCCCTCTGTGCCTCCCTCACTTCCTGCCTATTGTACTGGTCACCGTAGGTAGTGCGGTCCTCGTCATAGACCGTGCTCGGCGTCTCGCTCCCGGCCATCTCGCGCTTCTTCCGGGCGATCAGCGCGAGAGCGCGCTGCCGCTCAGAAGATTCACGGGACAGGCGGGACTCTTGCAGGGACAGCGGAGAAGATTTGGGAGGCGGCATGGAGGGCGAGGGGGAGCGGCGTTGGCGGGCCCGTCTAGGGGGAGGTTTGGAACGTGAGGACGAGGTAGAGGAGGACGAGAGTTGGGAGTTGATAAAGGTGAGGGGGTCGTCGCGGGATTGGCGTGCTAGGTCTCGTGTCCTGTAGTCTGCGTCAGACGTCAGTTCTTACTGGCCATGGCACGAACTCACCTCCGGCCATCGTCCACCTCCTTCCCCTTCCCGCTCTTATCCGAGTACCACGGGTTGAGGTCCTTTTCCGATGGGGCTAACGGCACGCCCTTCTCCGTTTCGGCAGGTACGCTCTTCTTGACCTTGCGCAATGCCTCGGATATGGATTGCTGTGATGATTGAATGAACATAGCATGCGTTAGAGTACTCCGCGTTGAGGTAGACAGCGTAAACAGTATGCACCTGCTCGATATCTGCAAAGAGATTTATGTGTCCCCGTGCCGTCGTGAGTCTGTCCGCTTCGTCCCGTCCAGTGCTAGGACCCGCGCTCGGTTCTGTGACTACGAGTGCACCCTCCAGCTCTACGCTTGTTCCAGATACACCTGCTCGCTTTCGCAGAGCATCCATTCGTGCCTCTGCATCCTGAGACTACTATCAGACGGCAAAAGAAGGCAGATCTGAAAGAAAGAGGACGCACGGCGACACGCATTCGATCTTCCTCCCCCTCTGCCTTAAGCCTCGCAGCCTCTTCATCGCGCCGCACACGCTCGATATTGTCCAACCTGTAAGGGTGGTAGGATTTATGGTGGGCAATATTGAGCTTCCCCATGACGAACGAGTTGGATGAACAACCGAGCCTGCGCGCCACAGCTTGCCACAGCAATGCGGCACATGCTTTTGCCGCCAGCACACGAAATGCAATCCTCCCAACAAACCTGAGGACGCGCTTTACGTAACGGGGCCCCACGCAGCGCGAAGCGTCACTCCGCAGGGCAGCGCGGGGTTGGCTCAGCGGGTTAGCCTATGCTTGGCCGTATATAGATAACAGTAGACACTGTGTGCGATATATAACATTAAATATCGCTTTCTCAAATATTCTTGTAGTCTAGATGGTGAGCGTCTTGTTAAGCCAGGAATGCCCGATGCTCGAGCCCGCGGGTTCGATTCCGAGCCGTGTGTTTTGGGCACCATCATTTTTTTCCGACAGATTGTCAAGATGTATGCATCACTTGTGAATAAAACTCCTTACTCTTGGGGCTTCAATATATTTTATCATCACTTATGATACACTCCACACCATCCTGATGTTATGCGGACAAGCCTGTAGAGAAGAAAAACTTTGATATCAGTGTGTCAAGAGTCACAGCCGCCACCTGCTGCACCCCCCGTTTTTATCCCAACGAGATTGTAATTCTCAGTACATATCACATAAAATACTTCGTATACCTCCCTACGTACTCTACATATAATATATGCATCGTTCTGGTGTCGAGACTCGAATTCAAATGGCCAGAGACCGTGGAAACGCAACATAGGCACTGCGCAGACTTGCCGCACAGCCGTCTGTGCAGTCACTTCACGATGGCCTCGACCTTCCTTTTACGGGCCGCGCGTCCTCAACTTTGTTGGGAGGATTGCATTTAGTCGCCAGCACATTCGCAGTGTTCAAGTTTAGCCGTCGATGCAACGCAAATCCAACGCACGAAAGTCCCATTACATTGCACCGCATAGACCCTACAAAAACCCGAAGAAAAACGATCTCATGGGATAACTACATAGGTGATTCTACCTTCGCATCAGCAGGTAGCCCGAAATCAATAGCAACCAGCCCGCTCCTCATAGTTTCGTCAGTAGGCCGCTTGCCCTCTGTAGGCTTCTCGGAGACAACGCCAGCGAATACTACTCCCTGTAACCCCTCTGGAATCACCGTCTCCCCGTTCTGAATTTCGGACGACAGAACAGACAAGCCGCTGTAGTACGCCATGAACATGCCAGCGGTGTCGGACTTGTCGACGGCGACTTCGATCGTGGACCCTGCCTTGGGCATTGAGGGACTGATGGTAAGGCCAGGGAACGATTTGACCGGCAGAGATGGGTTGTTCTCGGGGCACGATGTAATAAATGGAGCTTCATGATATGATGGTGAGCGAGCTAGACTTATCACGATACTACTGACACTCACAAGCCAAGGAGTACGCGCCAGAAGGTGTTAGCGGCGTCTGGTACGGGCCCGACCAAGGTGTGCCCTTGTTCACCGCGCTATGGATCCAGCTCGTCTGGCGCGCCTCCGTAGCCAAAATAGACTATCGACCTTAAGTCAGCCGACCATGTGCATTGGACCAGATCAAAATGGACGTACTCCAGCGGCATTTATGTCGTCCGGGTTAGACAACAAATGCGCTGCTCCGGTGTACGCAGCCGTTCCGACCCCCTCGATGGACAGACTCAAAGCCGCGAAGCTCTTTGGATCCGTGTACGGGCTGTTCGCCCGTCGTCAGCCACACTATATATAGCTGGGTGCTCAATAAGAGATTGAATTAACGCACAAGTTGTACGTGCACGGCTTGGTCGCGTTCTCCCCAATGGCCTTCGTCAGGAACGCGACATGCGAAGCCTCGTGGCCCGCAATCTGCTCGTACCGCTCGCGCACCCAGGGCGGGAAGCCCGCGCTCGCGAACGCGTTCGCGTCGAACTTCTCGAGCGCCCCGTTGTAAAACGCGCTCTCCAGATGCTCGAGGGTCAGCGCGAACTGGAGGACGGTCACGTCTGTCCTCGCCTCAGTGTCAGTGTCACTTGTCAAGGAGGATGAGAGGGAGAAGAGTAAGCACCGGGAATCTGGCCCTGGTCCCGTGTCGCGTGGTGAGGTGCACCTCCGACGGAGGCGATACCACAAACGAGAGCGAGAGCGACTGCGGCAGACGTGTACTTGAACATCTCGAAGGTATGGATGAAGTTCAAGTGTGGCTGAGAGCGGATGGGGCGGAGGTGAGAGGGAGAGCGAAGAGCTGCTGCTGCCAAATCTGCTGGTCCGGGAACCTTTATATACATATCTGGGTGGCTGTCTCCATGGCTGACAGGGTGGCTGACTTGTCGGCGGATGACGAGGTGAGCGATCGACGTGGATGGTTCGGGTGGCTGACGCGACACAGGCCATGGTGTGTCTCTGGTCTATTTCGCGATATACGTTCGTTTCAGGCATTGTCGTCACTTACGAGCCCTGTTGTGTGGCGAGGAAGGATACCTGATCAAGACTATTCATCCTGGTAATACATGCCTGAGGAGTCAATTTAAAGCGCCTTCGGCCGTGAAGTTACATTCCATTTTCACCATAATTCTCCTCCGGGCAGAGGCAGGGAGTTCCGATCCTCAAGCCCTCGGACGTACTCACCGAACGATCCACGAAGTACCAGCTATGCGATGGTTCAGTTGTATTACTCATTTCCTCACGAACACAGGAAGCGTACTCACCATCGTCACGTCTGGAGATTACGAGTGCGATCATATTTCTGTTATTCGAGTCCCTGGAAGACGGAGTTATGCGTATGCACTCTACAAAGGGGTAAACCTTCGGCCAACCGTGTAACGCGTTGGTTACTTGCGTCCTCAGTTCGCCCTCCAGCCAACCGTAACTTCCTCCGTGACGTATGCGCGAGCTCAATGCCGTGCGAGGAAGCCCGCAGCACTTGGGGACCACGCTCATCACCTTGGGCTCAAGTGAGCACTGCGAAATGGAGGCAGAGGGCCGAGATTACGATTGCCTGACCTTCAAAAGTGGTGTAAGTTTCGTCTTAAGAGCACCATCTCCTCTCCGTCATCTTGCCGTGCGTAATGTGGATCCTGCGATTTTTTCGGACTATCGACCTGATCTTCTAAGCGCCCGCAGGGGTTCATACATACCTAGGAATGAAAGTGGAGGCGAGCTCTTCCCTCGACTCGAGCATCCTCGAAGAACATTTGACACAATGTCCACCATGAAGCACTTCGCCATCGCCGGGGTCGGGCATATCGGGGAATTTATTGCGGAAGAATTCTTGAAACTGAAAGCCAACGGACGAGTCTCGACAGTCCTAGTCCTGACCCGCAGGGTGCGCCTGACCATCCATTCCTCACACTCGTGCTCACATTCCTTGGTCCATCGCGAGCAACAGGTACCCGACGGCGACGAAACGCTCACCAAGCTATCCGCGCTGGGAGCTACGGTCAAGACCGTGGACTACGCTTCCGAATCTTCCCTCACCTCTGCCCTCGCTGGCGTCGACGCCGTCCTTTCCGTCGTCGGAAGCGCTGGCCACGGGGCCGAGGCCGCCCTCGCAGACGCCGCCAAGGCCGCCGGCGTAAAGCTTTTCGTCCCGTCGGAGTACGGGTCGTACTCCAAGGGCGCCAAGGGCGGCTTCTACACGCACCACGCTGATATGCACAAGAAGCTCGAAGATATGCAGTTGCCGCACACGCTGATATACAACGGGCAGTGGTCCGATTTCATCTTCGTCGCGTGAGTGGGACGTGATATAGCTGTGTCACGACTCACTCCAACCCGGAATGATAGGTACTTCGGATGGGATGTCCCGGGCGGGAGAGTCGCAATCGCTGGAGAGGGGAACACCCCCATCAGTTACACAACTCGCCGAGACGTGGCCCGCTTCGTAGCCCACGCATTGACGACTCCGTCTCCGGAACAGCTGTACTGGAAATCCCTGTGCATACAAGGAGACCGCAAGGTGTAGTAGTGGGAGCGCGAGAACGACCTCATGACGAAAGCCGGTGCAGACCTTGAATGAAGTTGCTCAAGGGTATATGGCGAAGAGTGGAAGGCACCTCGAGATCACCTATACTCCGATATCACAACAAGAACAAATCTTGCAGGACAACCCTCCGTTTTCCGTCCCGGCGATCATAGCCTACCTCAAACACAGTTCAAGTTGGGAGATAGGCGGCGCTGATTTACAGTCGAAGTCGCCCGAAGGGCTTTCCAATGACTTGTGGCCGGAGTGGAACCCGACGTCTGCTGTGGACGCGCTGATTGAGACCTACGAGCGAGCCTGACCACCGCGAGGCTTATTTATTGCGTTCCTAGCTGAGACACGCATGGTAGATACAGTTAGACTATGCCCATCGTCGATGCGGAAATGAGACTGAGCCTGAGTTGACCAAACTGAGATTGCAGCCGTTTGCAGATCGATGGACCACCAATCCAGAAAATCGCGTATAGTCGGAGTGGGTCGGAGTGGGTCCCAGGGACGTCGGAAGAAGGTAGGGAAGTCCTGATGGTCTGATTCCCGTCTCTCAGGGACTTAAAATTGCTTGTCCGACGTGGTCCGACTGTAAATGATTTTTGCAAACGGCTGTGAGCGCGATGGATTTTTGCGGTTGATTGCAGTTGATGAAACTTTACTGAAGGCCGTGGCCCCTAGGTCCGCGTGTGGCAGTTTCCGTCTGGCTCACAAAAACCCCTTACGAAAAATTCTCCATTATAGGCTCTTAAATTGAGCAGGACGACCATCGTTGCCTGGGCAGGGGAAATGGGAATCCGTGGGATGAAGGTAAGACCGAGGCAAACACGGTGAAACCAGGCAGGCGCGCTCGATTAATAAACCCCCTTCAAAGCCTGAATACAGCTGATATATATGCTGAAGCAGCAATCCATTCCAGCAATCCGCAAAACGATGCGGAATTGCAGCTCCCGAAAATACAGCGGTAAGCGATCAAAATCACTCCATTTGGCGTCAGGACACCACTTCTGCCCCATGCCGACAGCTCAGAAAGGCACAGCTCCAAATCCTGTACTTGAGTGGAAACCGTTGAGGTAAGTTCTTGCCTATTTTGTCGTATACCAGCAGGTGTCGCAAGTCGGAAGTAGCCACAAACAAATATAAATCAACACACATTGGATGCCCGGATAACCCCAATCGTTGCAAGCTAATTGGTTCCGTAAGGGGCGGGTTCCTTCTCTGCCTTCTGTGCCAGATAAGCTCGCACTCTCGGTGGGCATGCGTGCCCTACGGTGCCTGTCATGCGAATTCATACTGCGATGCAGGTACCAGGACGTTCTCTGCTGCCCGACAGGTCTCACAGATATGCAAGGGTCCACAGGGACCCATTCTGTCTGCGGGGTACTCGAATATAAATCCCCCGCCTTATCCCGGGTCGAAATGACGAATCCAAATGGCGCTATATTGCACGCACCCGGCGTCTGATAAGGTTATCCTCTCCTATAAAAGCCCGCTGTAGTATGCTGGCATAGCGAGCTCCTTCGCGGGGAACGAGAGTTTATTCGACGTCGCGTCCGCAGAGGCCATACCTTCTGATCCACACCGCCTGATGGGATCACCATTAAACTCGCAGATCGCTTCCACTTCCTCCCGTCCTGGCATAAAAGAGGCGTGTGTTGTCCCTGTTGTGTCTCAGTTATTACCTTTCTCCTTCCCCTACCTCCTCCCATTGATGCCGAGACAGGACAGTCTTACGCCCCCATCCTGCGACGTCCACACTCATGCCTGATGGTACGTCTCCCACTGGGGAAGATGGGCGAACAGCTGAGTGGTGGCGGCCGCAAGGATTGGGCGTTGGTTGCGTCTGTCGTCTCGACGGCGAGTCTTGCTCACATAATCTCATACGTTGTTGAACGGTGTACGCAAGTGTACCAGCTAGTAATAGTATGAGATTTGATAGAGACACCTAGCAGGGTCACCGCCACTGTGGCTGGGTAAGATCCTGGTCGACAGGCGAGATTAGATTAGATCCAATGAGATGAATATAGACCCTGACATCATCGCTGCGATGAAGTCATCCTCACCACCTCGCCATGGACCCCTCCAATGCGCAGTGCTATAAAAGCATCGCTGGCACCTGTCATTCGATCCGCTACAGTATACCACCTAACGGTCCTATCACTCTAATTCCACGGACTCGATAAACCACTAAACATCCACAATGTCGACGAACGAGACCCCAGGATCTTCCGCCGGCGCCTCCCTCGGTAACAAGATCAAGTACGTTTGACCCCCTTGTCTCGCACAAAACGTATCCTAACCTCACCCAACCAGGAGCGCCTTCACGACCGCGCACGGCGCCGGCGAATCTATCCGCGGCAACGCGATGGACGCCCTCGACGCCGCCTTCGGCACGCGTAAGCCCGAGAACGTCGCCGCCACGCGCCAGGGCGAGGCCGAGGTCCAGCAGGGCGTCGCCAACATGGATCAGAAGTACGGGAACGAGTACGCGGGGACGACGACGGAGCCCGCGGGCAACCCTCCGGTGGGTACCACGGGCGCGCGCGCGGCGGGGGTGACTGAGAACCAGAATCGGCCTGTAGGGAGCGGAGCGGGTACGGCCGGCACCCTCTAGAGACGAGATGGAGAAGAAAGGACTTACGGGGCTGTGTGCTTGAAGATGACTAGAAGGATTGTATCATTGTATCAACAATAATGTATGACGGAGGACACTCATGTTGAAACGCTCGTCCCATGTGAGCGCGACCGATGCAGAGATGGAAGACTTCATCTGCATAAGAATTTCCTATCAGCTCTCGATGCATTATCGATATCCAATGACTTGTGTGCAGTCACGCGTCACCACCGAACTTGAGCATTCCTCCTAACCCGCCCTACCAATCCCGCGACCAGCAGCACTCACCCTCTGGAAGACGGCCCAAGAGCGGCACGAGCAAGGTAGTGCAACAAACCCAGTGGCAGTTTCTGTACTTACCGCACTTGTGGGTATTCCACACATCGGATCCGACCCACCTCCGTTCGAGGAGCAGATCCCGCGCCGGCGCAGCCGTGTGAACACGGGACGCAGAGCCTGTGAACGAGGCGACCTCAAGCTCCCCAGAGGGACCATCCCTTCACAGGCTCTACGTGCTGGGTCGAGGAAAAACCTGAGGCAAAAACCAGAAGCCCTACGGCGTAGCCCCACTTCCCGGTGCACAGAACACGACCCAAGGGGCCTATGGGCATGCAATGGCACAGTCCCTGTGTCACCGCATGACACACAGGCTCCGGGGATGCATTCCGCGCATACGATCATATAACAGATATCCAAGCAAGAGGCACACTCGACAAGCGCGCCGCGTACCCGACCTGCAACCACGACTCACGCCGGCGACAGCTGCCTGCGAGAGCCCCGACATCGCGAATACTAACTAGTCGGACACCAAAGAATCGGTGACAGGTACGGCATGACTCCCGCAGACATGCTGGTCACCCTCGTAGCGCCACGACGCTCCGCACCCAACGCCCAGCATGCCGTCCGGGGAGCCTGTGGGTAGATAAGCGCGCAGGCTATCTACCTGATAGGCTCCGAGGACGCATTCCGCACATAGAACTTGATTACTATAATCGCTAAATTAGCAGAGCTTGCACGCACCCACGAACGCGGGCGGCAGGTGCCTGCGGGGAAGAGCCCCGTCACCTGCGCATACCCGTCGAACACCGAAAGATATGTGGCAATACGGCACAATCCCTGCAGGCACCCTGATCGCCTAGTAGTTCCCGACTCCCCGCACTCAGCATCCAGAATGCCATGCAAGGGGCCCGTGCGTGCGTACGAAGTGGCACAGGCCCTATGTCACTGCGTAACGCACAGGTTCCAAGATGCTTTTTACGCTTAGACCGCGATAACCGGTAGAGTATGCAAGAGCCACGAGCAAAAAGCACGCACTCACCCGTTCATGAATGATGATCGGGGTCGAGTGCCTGCGGGGAGGGCCCCACCTCCTCAGAAACTTAAAGAACTGAGCTGTGTACGGCGCAATCCCCTCAGACACCCAGTCCGCCTCGCAGCGCCACGATTCCCTGCATCCGAGACCCAGAGCCACTTTCAAAAGAGCATACACGTACCTGTATCATAAGCCATGGACGACGACGCAAGGTACTTGCGAAGGGAGCACCGTTCTCTCGCCTGTCTCGTAGGACACCCTCAAAGTGGGCGAGAAAACGGCGCAGTCCCCGTAGACATCACGGACATCGTTCGGCAGGTGACTGAAAACAAGATACGGTGCCAACGCCGCACTAGTGCCAGTGCGGGACCAAGACTCCGAGTGATACCGTCCACAACTGCAGTCGTGCGATTCCTCGGGGAACGGAAAACAGACGCGGACGGCACTAAGGAAAATCAGTCACAGCATGTCTGGTAAGAGACCAAAGACGGTAAGGCAAGATATCATACCTTCGCGGGCTGCGTAGTATGATGACAAGCAGTCGAGGAATCGCGATCGCTGGCAAGAAGCACAGAACGAACCTTACACCGCGCAATCCGAGCTTACCAAGCGAAGAACATGACCGTGTAAGGGGGTAGTGGCATGACTCCTTCCGGTACTCACGCGGGCCTTACCTCTTTACACTCACGTATTCGACGTGCCCACTCAAATTGAGCCGGACCCCAAGAGATACATGTTGAATCGTCGACTTCAGGGCATCGTGCAGATGCCCCCCGCCCATCATTCAGGGGATATTCCTAAGGAAGAAGCCGAAGAATTACTCTTGGAGGCGAAGAAGAGCATGAGGTAGAGTATTATGAATATAAATCTGCCACCCCCATCGCAGCTCGAGGTCGTTTGGAGTATCAGTACACCAGGGACTCAATGAAAGAAGTGAAGAGGCTTACAGCACAGCGCAAAGCAAGTCGGCCAGACCGCTTGCCGCAAAGGTGAGCGCACGTGCGGACCAAGCGGCTCAGCCACAAACAATTATAAACGTGCCACTGTGTCTTCCTTCCTCCCAACCTCTTGTACAACAATCGCGCCACTGCTCTGTGGCCCACCATGCCTCTATTCACCTTCTCTAGCGCGCCTTCCGAAGTGGCTCGTAGGAATGCGACCCCGGACATGATTGAACTCCTCCGTGCCACGTGGAGAAGGGAGGGCAGGCAAGAGGTTGTGGCCGGAGAAGAATCTTATGTGCCACACGAACTAAATCATGTAGAGGATCCAGACGTCGAACAGGTAGGAGCCCTGACTGAGTATTGCTCATATCTGAATTTTGGTGGTTAGTTGCAAGCTTCTCAATTACAACAAAGCACCAACCACAGTATTCCCAATTTCCCCAAACTTCCAACACCTACCACCAGAAACGCCCGTTACGACTGGTACCAGGGCGACCTGGGACTAGAGGATTACCCTTCGCGCCACGGCGACGAGGTCACACTGCTCACAAAGTCTGCACCCCGGTGGTTCTCCGAGGGTCTTGCGAGGGCCACAGCCTCATTGACGAAAGCCGAGAAGCGAAGCTCGCTGAAGGAGGATGCTACGGAACTCGGGATGATGTTTACTGCTAACGAGTCGGCTTGGACAACTCCATTCGGTTCTCCCCAAACAACCCCTCAAGCAGAGCCCTCTTATACCGCCGCCTTCGCCGCCGGCTTATTCGGATGTCCTCCCAAGGCGAAGGCGGGTATTACGACCGTAGTGCAAACCACAGCTCCTCGCCCCTCAAACCGCTTCGACCGATCTAAGGCGAGGACATCTGGGGATGACGAGAAGATGGCAAGCAGACACATAGGCTATCCTGCACGTATCGTCTTGCCGTCGGACGTCCGTCGATGTACTGGACTGAATACCGAACATGAGTCACCGCTGCAGAGGCGCAAGCCTGTTTTGCTCGGACCGTCGCAACTGGAGGTTGAGGGGAAGGGGAAGTTATACTACATTTTCGGGCGTATGAAACTAGAGGGAAGCGCTGTCGATATTATTGGGAGGGACGCGGAGTAAGACAAGAAAGCGTAGGAAGGTCGGAAAGGCGGGCATGTACGTCTCTCCAGGGCGCAATAGGAGCGGTGTAATGCACTCATGCAAAAGCTGGTTTCAAGGCTAGTGATTTCGCACATATTCTGGAGTTAGCGTGGCTGGACGTGCTCCAGACACAACTCAGGTGCATGCAGAGCGAAGAGTCTGCGATATGGACGTCAGTTGGTTGATATACAATCAAGGTGGAGGTAGGGGTATGTGTCTTCAGTTCGGCCCGGAGATACGACAGCATCAAGCATTTTCTGGGGGCACGAAACGACGATATGAGGAAATCGAGTGAGGAATAAGGGGCAGCCTGTGCCAAGACCCACCTTTATGGGCGACAATCTGATGTGCCGTTAGCGGAGGGACACGGTAGACGTCGTAAATGCAGCACGTACCGAGTCAACGCAATTTCAAGTATATGAGGACAAGAGAAGGGGTTATGCAGACAAAGCGTCAAATATCCCATGCTCGGCAACCGTTTTAAACCAGGCTCGCGTCACTACAGCCTGCTTTCTCCAAACGTCCATTCACGATCCAGCTACTTTCTCGTCCGCAGTGCCTTTATTCACTTATTCAACGGGGCCCCTTGAGCCCAGGCCGGGGGTTCTTAGTCAAGGCGCAGCTGCACTTCTGAATGCCACACCCATCAGCCATAGCAGATACTATACCGCTCGCGATATCGACAGTGAGGTGGCAGATGAATCTTAAGAGACAAGCATCGAATGCGTATGTGGTCGTTTTTTCTCGACACACTCGTCATCACTAACTTTGGCGATTAGTTGGAGACTTTCCAAACTAAAAACACCAAGCTTGCGCCGGGAGATCGAGGAAAGAGACTCCTCATCGGGAAAATCTTGACTGGCACCGCGGAGATCTTGGTCTTTGGTACTTCCCGTCATTTCATAGCGACGGGTTGGACTGCCTACGGAACGCGTCCCCGAGGGCCTCCGGGAAGGTATCGAACGGGCCACAGCTTCTTGGAAGCCAAGAGTCAAGGAAGAGACGTCGAACAGACCGAGCCTGGTCGGTTTGTTTTTTCCCGAAGAGGCCTAACTTACTCCACCCTATAGCAAAATCAAGCCGCTCCTAGTGCCTGGTAATGCTGGGGGCGTCCCTGCCATAGGTCAGCATAAAGACGTTATAGATTCCACATATGCGACTGGCGTTTTATTCGGTGGATATTTGAAGTCTAGAAATGAAGACGGCGCGAAGGGCGCAAAGTCATCCTCCCCAAGCCCCGTGGGATTGGAGAGAACGACAATATCGGACGTTACAGCGACAACGGCAAGGGGAAAGTCCAATGATATCTACTCCGCATATACTCTGAGGCCGTCGGGGGTCGAGCCATGCACGCCATTTAAATGGAGCCTCAGACGCTCGTCGTTACTGCGAAGGAGGATCCGCGAACAAAGTCAGTTTGTTGAACGGGTTGATGTAGACGAACTCCGATCCACGTTCGAGCGCTTGAATCTAGACGAAAGAGGCGCACGGTTGCAGTGGGTACGCGGGGAAAGATGAAGAAGTGTAGAGGTGCCCAACACGATCAAGACTTCAGTTTTTTGGCCCAATGTATGAATGTAGCGCATGGAAGTAAACGGGGGTCAAATCTGGTTCTTCTCCACGCATGCTTTGCATCTCGTAGTTACGAGCGCGTTAAGAAGGAAAGGAGCATTATCCCAAGTAGAGCGGCGAGGCAGATAGAGTTGACCCAGAAGAAATGAAGCCTTGAGAGTGACACCTAGAGATTTCGGCAGAGGCGAGGACGAAGAGAGCACGTGGAGAACAAACTATTCAGTCACAAACACTTGTAAATCGCGGCGTGCCACTGCGCCTCTCTTCCTTTGAACCTCTGTACAGCAAACGCGCACTGCTGTTCTGTGGCCCACCATGCCTCTCTTCAAGTTTCATGGCGAGCCTCTTGAAGCCGCTCCAAGGAATACGACTCCAGATCTGATAGAACTCCTTCGTGTGACATGGAGAAATGGGCGAGGGCATGAAGCTGATAACAGCGAAGAACTCGACGAGACTGGAGAGGCAGAGGAGCCGGAGGAGGAGCAAGACATCGTCTGTGTAAGTCAATGGCCAGATTATGCTTTCTGTTGCTGAATTGGCGGTTAGTCAGAAGCTCCTCAAGGACAACTACCAAGCACCAACCATTATGATCTCGTTCTCCCAAAATTTCCACCGTCGTCTAATGCAAGCAGCCGGTACGATTGGTACCAAGGGGATCTCGGAATGCGCCTTATGTGGAGGTCTGGCATGAGATATCGGACTCGATCGCCATTGCGCAAACAGGAGAATGACAGGGACGACCTTAGCCGGCGTGGACAGCGTCCAGCAAGCTCGTGGTCATCCGAGAGAACGGCGTTCGACTCCACTCGATAGGACAAAGAGATGGGCGCTTGGACGGTGCTCGCGCACAAAGCTCAACGGCCCGGCGATTACCGAACGACATAAAATCAGCGCGTCCTACTTTCTGCTTCCTACAACGTCTTCTCCCATTCGACATTCGATGGCTTCCGCATATTGGTATTGGCCAGAGGCCTTCCCGCCCGGAACCGGCATGAACACGGGAGACTCATTTGAAGAATTTCGTGCAGCTCTAGTTGCCACTATGTTACCGAGCATCGAATCCGGTGTCGATAGACTTGCAGCAAGCTTGGACGAGGTATGCCGCCCTCTGCGTCACTGAGGCTCAGCTAAGTATTTACATTTGGTCTTTAGCTGCAGCTGCAAGAGCAACAAAAAAGCACCAACCATCGCGGCGCTGTGGCTCAATGCCACTCGAAGAAGACTCGTACGCGAGGGCCCTGCGCGCCCGACGCACTCAAGAAGCGCAAGGCTCGATCCTACGCGCCATATTCCCCCAGCAAGCAAAGGGCTCCAGGGTTACCGCTGAATCAACCTGCCCACGGCCTGTTTTCTTCGACTGCGAATGAGCTAGGGTTCGAGGATATGGAGCCAACGGCCAGTCCCCGGCAATCGCGCTTCCACTCAAGCTTCCGGAGGGAGGACGATGATCTATCCCAGGCGCTAGCTAGGATGACCAGCGCGACCCCTGACTGGGATACAGCATGGCTAGCGCCTCCGCCCGAAATATTTGGACCTTGGGGCGCAGCAGTCCCTTATTCGCTGCAGGCTGGCAACACTGCAGCTTACCCTCAACCACAAGCCAAAGACAATGACGGGAGGGCGATGGGGGTGGACAGCGAGTTGACGCCGCAGCTTCGTAGGATGTCGTTGGGGTCGTCTTTGAAGGCAGGACTGAGTTTTTCTGATGGGAACTTCGATTGATGTAGCGGTGGTCATTTGAACAATTCATGTATTAATTTGCCGTGCAGTCGTCCAATCAAACGTCTGTCCTCGTCTCTACTACACGATTACCAGCAGTCTGGATCGATAGTAGGAATTACGGACGATTTTACGCTCCGTTTCGAAACAAGGTAAGGTAGACACGTCGCGCCGCGCACGGATGCCGTTTGTCGCTCTCGACGCAGTTCAAGAGCGACATGACCGCGCTGGCGAGGGGTTTCAGGACGACGCCGAGCTCCTATATTGATTCGACAGAACGACGAACGAGCGGTCGGACAATGCTTGAGTGTACCGCATAACCGCCGGCAGTTGCCGCAGGTGCATAAAGACAGCCACTGCTTTCCAGCGGGCCACCACATCGCGTCTTCTCTCCTTCGACATTCCATGGCTCCTGTAAACTCGTCTCCCCTGGAGGCCCTGCCCTTCTCTCTCTCGAAAACCGCGAGAGCATTGGCTGAGGCCCGTAAGGAGCTGGATAACCTTAAGGCAGCTTTAGCCACCATGTCGCCTAGCGTTGACGGCCTCGCCGACAGCTTTGACGAGGTAGGCCACCTTTCGAGAAGCATCTTAGGAGTATCTATGCACCTGAAACTTGGCTTTAGCTGCAGCTGCAAGAGCAAACGGTAAAAACCAACCGAAATGCCCGAGCGGCTCAATGCCACAAGAGGCGACATCGATCCTCGGTCAAGAGGCATCATCCCTTCAATACCCCAAAAAGAAAGCGTTCATCAGGCCATTACCCATCGCAACCTGACTCTGGTCGATCTTCCTGGTCGAATAACGACCGGGGCTTTGAAGATATGGCGATGCAGGGGTGCTACGGGCTCAGCACAGAGCAGACATGGCCCATGGACGCTGATAGCAAGGCATTCATGGTCCGCGACCAAACCGAAGCACGGCTGGAGCGCAGGAGTGAAGGATTGAACGGAGTCGATGGTAGCAGCGGGTTTGAGGAGGTAGTGGTACCCTTCAGTCAGTTGATCTCTCCTGAGACGCTCGACTGGCGGGCACCGCCGCCGGATATTGGGGAGATTTCTGTCGCACCTCGCGGGAGTTCTGGACAACAAGTCTCTGTTTCGAAGGCGGCGGGACCCTTTGCTCCTCAAAGTCTTCTTGTGTCGAACGGCGAGATGGGCGTCGATAACGGTGCAACCTATCTCTCCCCTTTCGCATTGAGGCCATCCAAGAACATTGGCAGCAACGGAGTGGTCCAGGGCGACGAAGACTTGTCGCCGCAGATGGAAAGGATGTCGCTGGGCCAATCCTATTGAAATGACTGCTTCCGCTTTTGCTGATTGTCTGGGTGATGTAAATACGATTCAAACTTGATGAAAGAGATCTGTTCTGTCTTCCTTGTGTATCCATGTTCATTCCGTAACGGTCTTGATGGGGAAGCACAATGGGGCGAAAGCCAGTCATGATTTGACGAGTTTTCATCGCACTGTATCCGTTTCGAGTGCCGTAGGTGCGTTATCCAGTTGCTCTAACTAGGGAAACAACATTGCTATGTCGCCGGAGGAGGGGGGTATTGCCCAGCAGGTCATGATAGAGGGAACAAAGGGCATGGTATCAGATTCGCGGTCGCGCTTCGGTCCTTCAATGGACTCCTTCTGAAGTCTCCACGGAGCCACAAAGCATTTCACAAGTTCACGACATATCACCGTCATCTTTGCAACAGAACGCCTCGATTTCTAGTCGTACAATATCACCACCTCTCGGCGAGCCCCCCCTCTTCAAATATATGTAGTGACACATATAGCATAAAGCGACATAAATGCATGACAGCCTAGTACAGCGACGACGAAAACAACAAGATAACAGTCGCTCGTCCACATGCGGCGATGTACGCATACATCACTTTTGATATAGCCCCGCTCAAGCCGAACCAGCATCAGAGAGCAGATACAATGCCTGAGAGACTCGCATTTACAGCTTGCCAGCGTTGGCGGCAGACAGGGTCTGGCCGGCAGCCTTGGCGCGCTTGCGAAGCATCTGGGTGGACTTGTTGCCACGGATACCTCCACCCCATTGACGGCGCTGTTCCTCGTACTTGTCGGAGCTGCGAACCCCAAGTTAGCGATACGACGCCGATTAACAACGAGGCGGGCACTCACAAGTTAGCCTTCGCGGCGCTGACCAAAGTAGCCAGCTCGCGCTGGTCCTCGCTCTTGACCTCCTGTAGGGTAACAACAGCGGCGGTCTTCTTGTGGACAACCGTCCCGAGACGGGCCTTGCCCTTCACGATAACGTAGGGCACGCCCATCTTGCGGCACAATGCGGGCAGGAAAACGACGAGCTCAATGGGGTCGACGTCGTGCGCGATGACGACGAGGGCGGCCTTCTTCGCCTCGATGAGGGCGACACAGTGGTTCAGGCCGTACTTCACAAACAGGGGCTTCTTGGTCTCGTCCTTGGTCGGGGCCTTGCCCTCAGCGGTAGCCTGGGCCTGGGCGGTGAGACGAGCCTTCTTCTCCTGCTTCGTCTCAGGGCGGTACCTGACAAAACGTATCAGCTTCGGCGAACAACATCGTACACTTTACAACAGACTTGTTCAGGAGCTTGAACAGCTGCGTGGCAGTATTCTTGTCGAGAGTGTGCGAGAACTGCGCGATCGCGGGGGGCACCTTCAGGCGCTGGTTGAGGATAACCTTCTGGCGCTGGAGGCGGACATACTCCGGCCACTTGACGAAGCGCGTCAGGTCCTTCTTCGGCTGGATATCCTGACCTGTACAACCCATCAGCCCCGTCCGTCGCAATCCCGATTGTACAGTAGCAACGTACCAATACCGAAGTTCTTGGGCTGCGCCTCGAACAGGGGGTTCTTCGGCGTTTTGGTGGTCTTCGCGCCGGAGCCAGGGGCGGGCGCGGGCTTCTTGCCGGAACCGGGTTTCGACTTGGGAGGCTGGTCATTGAGACGAGGGGTGATCAGTAACAGGCACGGCTACATGCGCCGCCTGCACCGCCGGTACCTCGGAGCTCTAGCGCTCGCGTCCGAAGACACGAGCCCAGCAGTAGCTTCATCGCCGCGAGGGCTCGGCTGATAAGCACGAGAGACGAAGCTCTACGTGTGCTGTGTATGCTGGGGGTCTGCAGGGCAGTCAATCAGACGCGGATTTGAGTAGTGCATCCCAAAGTGCGACGTACCATCCATCTTCGTGCTATCCCTCCATGATGGATATGACCACAGAGCTCCGAGATACCGACTGCAACGGTACAGGCGACGACGTCGAGAGGCTGCTCACCATTGTCGCTGGTCTTGACGAGGCTTGAGAACTTTCGGGCGGGTGATGGACGACGACCCAGGAGGATCGGTGTGTACAGGCGTTTGAGACTCCGATTGAATCCCGGTTCCGGCCGAGGAGTAGGCGTGCTCAATTCTACAATTCGGCCGTTCGCTCGAGCAATCGTTCGCGCTTTCGTTCGCGCCAGGAATAGCTCAAGAAGTGATGCGGGAGATGGCCGAATAATCTTAAAGTAACGATGACAGGCACTAAACGTCTGTTCTGTTACTATGTCACCACCATGTAATGAGCTTATTGCCAGTGAATAGGAGACGTTGCAAAACTTTGAAGTTCGAGCCGCTCGAGGGAGCAGACGCTCGGCTCCCTTCGGCCATCTCCCGCATCACTTCTTGAGCTATTCCTGGCGCGAACGAAAGCGCGAACGATTGCTCGAGCGAACGGCCGAATTGTAGAATTGAGCATGCCTATTAGAGTGCTGCTCAATTCTTATTTCGTTCGTCCGTTCGTCTGTTCGTTCGATTGAGGAGTGAGGAAGCAATGATGGCCGGCGATCCGGGACCACGGTCATGTGATGTGTTCTCCGTTGGTGGCCGGCACATTTATTTCCTGAGGCTTTTTCGAGATATATGCACAAGCATGATAAGAGCCCCAATTGGGTCAATACTCAGCCAGGGCAACCGGTCCATACATCTCAGAATTGCTATGAGGAGAATAATGAGGCATGTAATCTACGTCGACGGATTTCGTCCACATAACTAGCCACGGAAATTCTCGATGCCTTGCCGCGACCGGTGAGCACATCACATGACCGTGGTCCCGGATCGCCGGCCATCATTGCTTTTGGACGCGCTCAATCGAACGAACAGACGAACGGACGAACGAAATAAGAATTGAGCAGCACTAGTCATGTTTCAAGTCCCACTGCCACTGCCACAGCGCTCGCTCTACTACTGTACCAGTTTATCGTTTAGTTCGGGACTGTCCTTGTTC